AATGCTCGCGATGCGATTTGTAAGCCATACTTTAGTCTCTCCGCTGTTCTCCTCTCATCCGATTTGCTGTGGTAGGAAGAAGAGACACTGCGATTATTCACTTAACACGTTCTTTCCACGAAGTGAGACTACATCACACAACCTGCATCGAGTTTTGGGGCCAATTGTAACCCTACGCGAGCCCTGTGGCTGCCTTGAGATTGAGGAGGAGGGCGAGACTGCACAGTCTCACGGCATATATACCGCGCGGCTGTTCAGGTCGTTGATAGATGCTGAACTTGACGGCTTCAGAGATATCGTAGACCGATATCTCCAAACAGTCCAAAGATGGCTTCCCATTCTAAGCAAGGAAGCACTGGAGCATGCCGCCAAGCAACCTCCCGACCAATACCTCCCATGCCTTGATAACCACGCCCGCCTCCTCTTTCTCGCCATGCGTTTAGTTTCGCAGGGTCGTTGTTCCTCCTTCATTCATGATGCCGGAGAAAACAGCCTCTATCTTACCACAAGAAGGTTGTTCATACTCTTCCAAGATGAGAAGCAGTGGCCACTTAGTTTGCTGCAAGCAGGGATTTTAATCGCCACGTATGAATGTGGCCATGGCCTAGCAAGACAGTCATATCTTACTCTATCTTCATGCGTAGCCATGGCTAGGTTGCTGAGGATTGACCAGGATCTTGCCTCGCAATTAAATGTCGGCCCGGAGGATGCCCCTGATCCCAAAGTCCTCTGTTGGAGTGCTATAGTTATTATTGACCGGTGAGATTATTGTGAGACCCTTTGATCTACTTATTCTCCTGACTCTCGCTCTGCGGATTTAGTTTAATCGCTTTGTCCAGTCTCGACGACATTTTTCCACTGCTCGTCCCGCCGCCTCCTGATAGTTCCTTCGAAACGTCGCTGAAGTGCTTGCAGACAAGGCTGGCGGCGGCTAAGACGTACGAGAAGAATCACTGGTCTTTTGAATCGACAGCCGCAGCCGCGGAAATGATTGGCGAGGCGCTCACCTTTGCGCCGAATAGCTCGAGGGTGCCGATTCACCGCTTGGACTTGGTCAAATCGAGAACGGACAAACTCGTCGCCGCCCTGCTTGAGATTAGTCAGATTGCCCCTCTATTAACTTGTGAAGTTGCTCCGTTGTCTATCAGGTACTCGACGACCACTTATAGATCAGATAAGGTTATGTATTTGGAGATGCTAATATGCTTCTAGTGCCGTTGCTGCTGTGCGCCTCAGGTGTGCTACCAGCGGTGAGGAGCGGTTTATCAGCTGTAGAGCCACTGAAGAACTACAGTCAACTTTCGAGATGAAATTGGATGAGATCCGGATGAGTCCCGACTACACCGCGGGTCTTAGGATAAACCGGATATCTCTGCTGGTGCTTTGTTCCATGTTTCGCAGCGTGCTTCATCTCATCCGATATTTCCATCACGATTTGCTTGAAACCGACTTGAAGAAAATCAAAACCTGTCTGCTGGCGTTTCGAGAGCATTGGAGCCTTGGAGGTAAGTGTTCACATTGGGCTTACGGTAGGAGTGAGATCCATGCTTATAGTTTCAGACCTGTACTTGAAGGAACTGAATGAAATACTGGCCCTCCCGAAGTAGAAGTAGAATTCCAACGATTTTGCCATCTTCTTCTCTCTGCGGCGGGGGAAAGAGAGAAAGATTGCCACATGCATCTTCTTACCCGAAACAGAGAATGAGCCCAGGGTAGCTGTGCCCCAATCTTGCATGTGTGAGTGGGCTTAGATAGCAGTCGATGCCAGCATTACATGCACCGGATTCCGATTCCAAAAGGGTTCCAAAAGGTACTGTGTGTGGGCACCTGCGCGTTGCCCGCGTTAAACGTTTCCCTGCAAGCTGCATCTTGCAAGCCACAGTCTGATCGATGATAGTCTCCACTTCTTCATACATTCAGGCCTGGTTTGTGACCGATCTTCTTCTCTTTTGAGTCCATGTTCACTTCACTATCACCCGACGTATGATTTTCCACATAATGGACAACTTCTCCGTTGATATGTACCAATCTGTCAATCATAGTGGCAGATGGTTATTTTTTAAGGTTATATGGTTACTAACACTAAGTGTATCCTTGTGTGATTGAGCAGTAACACGATTTAATTTCTGTCGATTTCATGCGCCTTTGGAATAGCCTGACTCTTCAACCATGTGTTTCAGTATGAGGCTATCAATTACGAGACAAAAGCATTGAGAAGAATGGGGAACTGATGCAACGATAATTGATTTCTTTTCTCTAAACAATCCCAGTGATTTCTAATGAGATAAAGAGACCTGCTGGTTATATTCGGCATCTCAAATGGTGATGTGGTTAGAGTGTAGGGTACGTAGTGATTGGACGTCAGAAGGAGCTCGTTGGTTTGTCCAGTCACCACTGAGAGGATTCCTGTGTTTGATGTTACCTGTAATAAAACATTTTATTTTCCTGCCTGGAGCAACTATGTGAGAGACAGGTATTCGTTTCTATAATGGGCTACCCGGGGCATATGCTGAACCTCCCTTCCCCTGACTCTCCCTCTCGAAGCTGCCGATTGTAGGGGCTCGACGGTCACCTCGCTTAACCAAAGGTAGGGGTAATCCCCACAGCATCACCTTTCAGCCTTCCTTTATTTATTCTGGACTATTCTGGAAGCCAGCTTCTCACTCCGGGGAGCCGTGGTGGGCCCATCAGGGGCTGGTCTCCTACATGGTACTACGTAGTCCCGGACATGGGATAGGAGTACCGGCCTTTCAATATCCTGGTCTTGCGGATGGGACATCAGGCAACCATTTAATTTCTTTGCCAAGGCCAGCTAGTGGTAAGATCCCAGCTAATTAGTAGCTACATCCTCAAATTAACTCTACCTGACTGAAGTGTAGAATTACAAACAGCTGCAAAATCACAGTGAGCTCAAACTCGAGACCACCTCCCCTCCTGATTTCCACCAAGTTGGTCTCTCCCTCAGTAGACTTCTTTGCCACTGTGGCAAACACATACTCATCCCCTTTCTTACCATCCCCAGCCATGGAAGGCGGCGTCATGGGAAGTGGACCATCCCACTCCAGTCTATAATAAGGCTCTGACAGGTGGCGCGACATCCACAGGAATCGGTGGGGTTTTGCAGCTAGACCGGGGACAGTGACGATTGGTATGTCGCTCTGATACTCATGGATGGAAAATGTCCCTGTTTTCCGAGCCATTGGACGCCAGAGCGCATCCGGAACAGCCGGAGACGAAGTACATATCGTCGCTATGGGCTCGGTTTTGCTCTTAGGATTGGCTGATAAGCGCGCGGCAGCAATAGGAGTTGTGGTGTCGGATGAAGAGAAGATTTGGATGTTGCCAACTTTGCTAAATGAGGAGACGAGTTGAATGCGGTATAGCGGTGTAGGGTCGATTGTAAGACATATGTCATAGCTGGTTGCAGAATTACGAACAATCTTAAGGTAATCGACTTGGTTGTCCCGGATGGAGCATGTTTGTATCGAACCAGCAATACGCCCAGCAGGTGAGGAGGGAATAGGCACTATAGTCTCGTTGAGAGGCTGCTTCTCCTGGTAGGGAGGCAAGTTATCGTTGTGAGACATTTCAGGTCGTGAGAAGATCAAAGATATTTTGTGAGAAGACCAAAGTGATGGCTTTGAGGCAATGGAGCTTATCAGAGAGGGTATACACCGGCAGTGGAAATTCAGGGAGAGAGCTGTCCCTTCGTCAGGCTCTAAATACCGAGTGTGGGGTGTAATTTCTCTCAAGCGGAGCCGGCCTCATCATGTTCCACCCCTTGTAATGAGGCCGCCTTAAGCCCTCATGACATGATATTACTCAGTCATTATCATCGTCTGAAATAGAACAGCTCACACCTGAATTACGATATCGTATTTGCGAGCCTCAAGGCAGGAATGGAAGCTATCTGGGACTCAGAATGGTTTTTAGAAGACCCATCTACTCGCGATCGAGACTGTGCTTTCTCACAAGCTTCTTCATGATGATAACAAGATCTCTTGAGCGTTTGGCCAACCTGGCAAGCCCTTTGATTGAGGATAGCAATCAGTTGCATTGGATACTAAGGGGCGAATGAGTAGCTCCTAGAGGAGCAAGAGAAGTCGGTGACGTTGATGATAAGATATTACTAACAGCTCAATGCTTGCCTACTTTGATTGCTTCAATAATAGAACCTGGAGACTATTAGCTAGGTATTAGAGCTTATAGCAGCAGTAAGAATTACTTAGTAGGGCAACATGTCGCGTGGTGTGGTTTGTATGAGGTGTTTTTGAACCCTGACCCCTGTTATCATGAAGCAATCCTACCAGGTCAATCACCCCGGGTTACTGGCCTGTCTCATTGGTCAAAACCAGTGCTCAAAATAGCTAACAAACGAATTCCTGCTTTTGCAGCAATGGCCCGCTTTTTGACCAATCACTGCCCCACGGTAGTCACCATGGAGTTTCGCTAAATCCCATGACAAGACCCGAAGGATCGTAGTGGGACGTCGAGCTCGGCATTTGAGTACCGCGCGCGTTCTCTCAGAAACGTGTGGCTTCCTCCCCTGCTCTATCATGCCTAGTGGTGAAGCTATACTCCAAATCTATTCGTAGTTACATAACCCACTGAGCAGGCAGCAGCAAAACTAGGATCCTAAGATTAACAGTTTCCGAGATAGGGCGGTAGTCTGGGTGAATAGCACCACAGCCGGGCAAAACCCCATGATTCCATCACCAAAAAGGTAATAGTGCTGGCAGACACCTCCCGAATGTGGATGATTGATGGCAAAATTGACAGCTCTGGCGACATACCCTTGCTCTTACCGATGGCTTTGTATGAACCATAACCTAAACGTGAAACGAGCGTTGGTGAATGTGAAGAATGAGGAATACATATAAGTACGGGCAACATCACGAACAACTACAGCAGAACCAAACAATACATTCCATTCATCTCTTTCACACATCTACTTCATTACTTCTATTCTTAAACGCAAAACTTACTTTCCACCTTTCATCATGCGTCTGGACATTACTCTTCTCTACGCCCTGGCGGCCTCCCCACTTGCAACCGCAGCCAAATGGAACAGCAAGGCTGCTTCAGCCGGGTGAGCACCTTATCTCAAGATGACATTTACTCACACTAACACTCCCCCAGATATCAATATGGCGCCGTCGCCTGTGCGGCAGGAGCCCTTGTTTGCAATGCTAATGGCATCAAAATTGGAGCCTGGGCACTCGGAACTGTTGGATTCTGCTGCAGTACCGCCACGGCGACCGTCACTGCTTCTGAGTCCAAGGGGTTCCAAGCAGCCTGGAAGAAAGGGGCCGAGAAACTCGGCGCCGCCGCGCAAGTGACCAAAGATGGAGCTTCGAAAGTGGGAAATTTCGTTACAGAATGCGCCAATGGTGTGTGCAAAATGGTCACCAAAAAGAAGAAGGGGCCCGTCCTTCCGAGAAGCCCAAGGAACAGACGCGGACTGAAGAGGTACCCGACAAGGTCGACCAACGAACGCCGAGCGGCAAGAATGGCAAGGCGAAGAGTGGCATACGAGTAGACCTTGATCAAGGGACCCAGGGGAGCCTCGTTCATTCCAAGCTGGGTCAATGTGTTGATCGGCAGATTCTAGAGCCCCTGTGCTTGCCTGGCAAAAGATTCAAGGACAGGGCTCTAGCATGTAGATAAAGGTTGAAAAAAATCACTAGCCATCACCAAACGACATAGAGTTAGCGTTATATATATTGCTATTGAGGGAGTTGCTATACAAGTTGTTACAAATGACACATACATTTGATCGCATTAAACTGACTTACCTTCGCCGCTGTTCTCAAACGAGGCTACCTCATCTAACAGTCCAAATTCGCCGCTTGACGATCGCCGTAGTGAAAGTTCCCAAAACCTCAACTTCTCTTAATCCAACCGAATAATCATAGAGAGAACTTCAACAACTAATGACATTATTGATATAGCTTGTCACCAATATTTGTCATTAATCTTTCTCTAATGAAGCATGGAGTAGGAGGGAAGGCCTGAAATATACTACGGCATAGCCTCCTCTTCTAAAATGATGTAGACGCATAAAATACAGAAATAATACTGAGACTTGGTCATGTGGGCTTATAGTCACCCAGTTCTTAGGACTCCCACCTGGTCCCCACGCGAGTTACTTGCGAGTGGAATTAGAGACACGTAATGTGCGGGTCTTGCAACAACGCAACAACAACACTGGATTGGCCGTATGGTCTAGTCGTATGATTCTCGCTTTGGGAAATCTCATCCTGCATGCGAGAGGTCCTGGGTTCAATTCCCAGTGCGGCCCGTTTCTGTCCGGTGGTTATGCATCCGGGATGTGCCAATAGGCACGTCTTCTTTTTTGTGTGTTTATTGTGTTGGGATATCGGCTCAGACACCTTGCACTGCTATTTGTAGAAAGCCTCTTCTAGTTAGAGAACCGCACGGTGTACCAACGGCCTTGCCTACATATACTGACGTTGTAGCAACATCTTTGGCATCAAACACTTTCATACTTCCATATTGTTTCGATTTTTTATGCCCAACAGAGTAGTAGGTGTGAGGTGATAAATTATAATTAGTGTGCAAATTGAAAGGGCCGGTTCCAGGTAGAATTCTGCCGTATGTTACCATTTCTGGTCGAACTTGTCCGGTTTCAATTTAAGCCATGCTCTATGGGAGTATATGAAGTGATATCATCTACAAAGCTTCAGTCTCTTTCCTCCCTCCATGTCCATTCGGGTAAATTCTTGAGGCTCCTGAGATATCGAAACTCTATAAAAATCAACTTAGTGCAAGCGAACAGTTGTTGTCACAGCGGCATCAATCATCAGGCTCGTGCCGTTGATATAACTGGTGGCAGGGCTGCAAAGGAAAGCAATAGCATCAGAAACTTCCTCGCATTCCGCAGCGCGCTTGATGGGTACAATGGCGGAAATCGCATTTCGTACGTCTGGATTCTTCTCCAGCTCAATGTCGAGAAGCGGTGTGCGAACCCAAGTCGGGCAGACTGCATTGCAGCGTATCCCTTCGCTTGCGTGATCAAGTCCTAAGGAATATGTCAGTCAACTATTGGTACATGTAAAAATGAGGTGGTTATTTCAGGTGCCGCAAAAGAAGCATACTTGATAAACTTACCAGTCATTTTTGTTAACCCCATTACGGCATGCTTGGAAACTGTGTATGACATTTTCCCGGGGAGTCCGGCGAAGGAATTTGCAGAAGCACAGTTCACAATAACTCCTCGTCCAATGTCACGGCTTCCTGTGCGCCCAGCGTACGTTCTCGGCTCTTGCTTTCTCATGGCTGCCGTCTCTGCTCGGAGGCAAAGCATCATGCCCCTTGCATTGATGTTCATCACTCGGTCGAAATTGTCAATATCGGTATCGGAAACAGGCGTATGAACCCCGTTATCAACCTGCGCGAGACAATGGATAGGTCAGTGAAGTGCCACAGTGACCTGGTAATTTGTGATCCAGGATCAGACATACTCCCGCAGAGTTGACGGCATAATCAAGACGCCCAAATTCGCGAATGACGAAGTCAACCATGTGCTGTACCTCGGCAGGCTCCCGCACATCAACTTTGACCGTGGTAGTTCTGTACTTTGGATTTGTTGCGAAGCCTTTGCTCTCCTCCGCAGACCTGACTGCGTTTTCCTCGTCGAGATCTGCGAATACGATAACTTCCGCTCCGGCCTGGGCTAAAGAGAAGGCAGCCTGTTGTCCAATGCCGCGCCCTGACTGAATTTCGGTTAAAGAAAGCTGCAATGGATTGGATTGGAATCACAGAATACCTACCCCAACAACTAAAGCAATGCCGTCGAGCCTGGATCCAGGAATCATGATGGATCACTGTTCAGTAAGGAATCTTCTGTTTGGTTTAGACCCTGGAAGGCGTCGCAACTTAGAGCAGAGAATTAGAGAACGGTGAAAAGAAGCCGGAAGCAACCTTTTAAGGCTGCTCAGCTGATTATATTGTCTTCTTTTCCTTTAGTTTAGCATATATCCTATTAAAAATTCCTTGTCATTTTTTTGAAGATCCAAAGCGCTTATTCGTCTCAAGTCAGTCTAGTTAGTAAACAGTTTCGAGCATATGTTCTACACAACATCCTTGATGTCCACATGAAGATCTTGAGTGCTTATTCGTCCCGATATAGTTTAGCGACTAGACAATTTTGAGAGGCGTCGACAAAGCAAATCTTGATGGAGGCACAGACTCAAACCAATCCTCTTTTGGCGAATCTCACTCCTACTCACCAGGGACGCGATTTGAAGCCGCGCGGGGAATCTTCGGGGAGGAAAACTATCAAGGGTTTGCGCCGTTAGACAGAACACTGCAGCTACCCTCTGCATATGCTAAGAGTCAGTGCTCTCTCACCGCTTCGACAAGGGTGGCTTTAAGAGGGGGTTTAGTCAGGTACTTGTGGGTGGAGCTTGATTCATCGCCGTGTGTCGCGTCACATCCCGAAGCTTAACAACTTCTCCTGCTTACATTCCCCGAGCCCCATCTCACGAGTCACAACCACCCTGCTCTCCATCATGAGTGGAGAAGAGCATGAAAAGAAGCCAGCCAGGAGACAATTTGTCACGCGGAGTAGGTTGGGGTGTTCAAACTGCAAGGACCGCCGTATCCGATGCGATGAAAAGCGGCCACAATGGTAAGCCAACGCCCCTCATTGCTTCGTACTCTTCACTGGGGGAGTGTGTATCTTCGTTTCGCTTGTACAAAGCTGGAAAATACAAGCTGATGACTGACCCTGGGCCGCAACAGCTCCAATTGCGTGAACATGGCAAAGGCTTGCTCCTACGGCCCAGCCAAGGTTCCGCTCCGGGATCGCAGGGCACAACTACGATCCTCAGATCAAACCCCGTGGATCGTCCAGAATTCGAGTCCTGAAAGTTGGCCAAACGTAACGACACAGGTAACAGAAACGAGAGAACGACGGTCAGCCCCTTGGAAATGGATTGAGCTGGAGAGGATGAACACTTTTGAAGCCTTCCCCATCGTGATGCCTCTCAGATCAAAGGAGCTTCTTTACTACTGTAAGAATGGCGTCATTCCTCATCTCAAACCAACATGAACTGATAGAGCATAATAGTTAGGCAAGTCGGTGAATCATTTACCGTGCCCTCTGAACAGCAACCCGAACAGCAACCCAGACAGCGACTGGATGATTGGTTAGTCCCCGCACGCCCTTACGCATGGATGATGAACTCACCCCTCCCTGCTAGTATGAGCTCGGCTGTTCAAGACCCATTCACCCTCCGGAATATGCTTCTCATTGCCGGCATCCATTACGCATGGAATCTCGGAGATCTCCAGACTTTCGAACCCACATTTCTGTCACACAAAATCAAAGCTATCCGACTAGTCAATGAAGGCCTAAACACCCTCTCTGACGAGGAGGATTATCTGAGCTGTGCGAATTACATCATCACACTAAGCTTCACAGAGGCAAGTACTTCCATCTGTGGTTCGGTATGAGGACTGACAAGGTGTTCCCAATAGTGCTGTCTCGGAAACTTCCGAGTTGCAGAAGCGCACCTCAAAGGCCTCATGAGGTTTATCGATGCCCACAGGCCTGATGAAGAGAGCTCAAGCTCTCAAGACGCTATTAAAAGAGAGCTTACTGATCGGTACCTCATTTTGTAAGTTAAATCAGGTCGAGTTTGAAACCTTCCGAAATCGCCAGTAATCTAATGTGGTTCGGTACGTCTGATATAGGGCCTACAACTTTGTTCACAGCCTGAAAAGCCGCCTGGACGACTTTTTAGCCAGCACGGCTATAATCGAAAATATTTCTCGTGACTCAGATCCGAAAGGCCTCGCAAGAGTCCTGCATCGCTGGCATGTACAGGAAGCCACCGGTCTCGCCTTCAGGCTGAAGACGATTAGACTGTTCCCGTACTTCTTTAGCTCGGCAATTGTCACCAAGTATCCCCGCCATGTCGATGTTAGTGATATTATATCCTGTCTCGCGCAGATAACAAAGCAACACGATGCAAGGTTTGCAGGATTTGAGGCAGCATATGATGCTCGTTCTCGCTATGAGCTCTGGGATAGCGGTGGCCCATCGAGGCTACTCTCTGCCGTGGTGAACGCTCACTTGGACTCTATTTCAAATGAGCCACCACTCTCTTCCCATTCTAATGTGGGATTTGCCTCTTCATGGTCTGGTTTCTGTGTCGCTATTGGAATGTATCTGACATCAGTGCTCGGCGTCTGGAATCAAGGGTCACCGGCGGAGAGTTCGCTTCTGCAACATGTACTCCTGATACTAAAACAGGATTTGGAAACAAGCTGGCTCAACTTCAAAGCCCGGAGCAAAGAATCGCGGGCTTTGTGGATCTGGAAGTGGTTTGCGGGGGCTCTCACCATAGCCCACGTCCAACCCAAAGATTGTGACAGACGATTCCGGGAGTTGAGCGTTGAGTTCCTATCTCTCGTTGAACATTGTCGCGGCGTAATCAGAAAGGGCTCTGAACACTGGCCTGAGGTAAAAGCTATGCTTCACCGTGTGGTTTGGCCTCATGAGCTTCCTAAAGAACTGGAAGTAATCAAGTTTTGGAACAATCCCATCCTGGGCTCGCTTAGTCCTTGAGTTATCCTATGATATAAAGAGGCCAATAGTCAGGGAAATGAGATATTATTGAATGGATATTCAATCTTTTCCCCGGGTTTTGGCGATGCATGACCCTAATCTACCCCGTCGGTAATATTGTCGCCAGCAACTTTGTACAGTAGCATTATTCAATTCATAACAATGTCTAGACAGGACAGAACCTGCCTGGTGACTCTTTGTGACGTGGTTGGCCATGAAGAAATTGGTTGGGGAGGCTGAAGACAATAGTATCGTGGCTGAGCGGTTTGGGCTGACCACGAACCTTAGCTGGACTCCAATACAAGGGCCATTTGAAAGCATATAATAGACCTTACTTAAAAGCTTAATTAGTCTCCTCCTCTCTGGATCTAGAGACAAGCTTAGTTATTGACTGTCTCTTATTTGAGTATACCCTTCCGTCCCTAACCCAAAATGGGCTCGACAGCATCCGAGAATGGAAACGATGCCAACGACTTTGCCCTCGTGTCAGGATTCTACGGCCCTGGTGCGATAGCATGCTGGCACTACCTCATTGCCTTATTCGCCATGGGCTGGGCTTTCAATCCTGAAGGAGTACGGTATATGCGCTACCCGACCCCCGATTTCGCAGCCGTGATGCTTTACCCCATCGTTGCCATCGGCCATCTCGTCGTCCAGATCCGTCACTTCCCCCCGGAACAGTCCGACTATCTCGCTGCGAATCTCGCCAATGCAATCGACAGTCGGGGCGCACTCGACGAGGCTGTCTTGCCGCTCGCCCCGGATGGGCTCAAGTACCAGATCGATGCCTCAAGTGAGCTCCGCAAAGAGTTGTATCCCCGCATTGTTGCGATGAACGTGGCTTTGCGAGTAGCCGACCTCTTCAGCGACCTCTGCCTGTTCTTCATCCTGTGGATCGCGCTCGGGACTTTGGTTCGCCATGTGCGGTCACGCAACCCGAGGCAAATCCCTTGGCTGGTGCTTTACTCCTCTGTTGCCGGCCTCCTCTAATCTTGGGTCCCCAAGATTCTCTTAACGACCCTCATAGGGCACGAAAGAGAGGTGAGTCGCATCACATGGTCCATGGTAGATCGGTGGTCGGGTCTGCTACTCTGGGCAACCCGTCTCCCAATCTTGTACTACATGCTCTGGAGATGGCACAGGAGTTGGGCTTGTGTCAGCGGAAATGGGACTGGGAGACAAGGCAGAAATCTCTCGCTCCAGGGCCTGCTCCTGATTGCAGGTTGCTCGGTAATCTTCATCATCGGTCCAATGTGCTACCGCGGCACACGTTACTACACAGGCTTTCCTTATCAGTACTACATGCCCGAGATGGGGGTTTCCATCGGTGAATTGGACCAGGCGGCTGCTCTTGCTAGTGGAATTATTGCGTTTCTCCTGAATGCTTCTACATACATGTCTGTGAATCCAGAAACCGATGCTGTATTTTGATCTAATCATAACATAACTTTTCACTATTAACTATATGCATACATACTAGCGTTTCACACGCATTTCATTGCTCTTATTGCAGCATCTGCTGCATCGCGTTGATTCTGTAACTCTCTCTCCTCTCCATCAGCTCGCCGTGGCGTCCCTTGTCTACAATCTGTCCACCCTCAACCACGAAGATGACATCTGCCTTGCGGACTGTGTGAAGACGGTGAGTAATGGCAAGGACGGTTGTGCCTCTGGCGGCCTTCTCCAGACCTTCCTGTAGCGCCGCCTCGCTCGCAGCGTCAAGGGCACTGGTACTCTCGTCCAAGAGCAGCAGACGTGGTCGTCGCACTAGAGCACGCGCGATGGCCAGTCTCTGCCTCTGTCCACCGGAGAGGTGCGAAGCGGAAGGTCCACAATCGGAGTCGTACTTGTCAGGAAGGGCCATAATAACGTCGTGGATGTTGGCGAGACGGCACGCCTCCTCAATCTCCTCCTCTGTTGCTTCAGTTCCGGGGGGAGCACCCAACCCAACGTTGAAGCGGATGCTGCCTTGGAAGAGCGATGGGTCTTGAGGGACCAGAGCAATGCTGTCCCTGAACGAGGATGGGCCGTTGGCGATGTCGGCATCGTCTATGGAGATGACACCGCTTGTTTGTGTGTACAGCTGCTGCATGAGGTTCATGATAGTGGACTTTCCAGCTCCTGAAGGACCTACCAAACCGCAGAACTGGTTGGGCTGGATGGTGAAGGACACATTGTCAAGAACCGGAACGTCAGGGCGACTCGGGTAGGAAAAGGACACATTGTTGAAGGTGATCTTAGCTCCTCCACGTTGTCCTGATTTCTCAGTTTGGGGTTTTGCCTCTCCAGTAGCCTCCACATCACTCTGGGGTCCCTTGCCAGCGGACTTGAGAGTCTGGTCTGGGCCGATGCTGATGACGGTCATCAGGCGATTAAGGGCAATGTGGGCGCGGGAGAACTCAGGAGCGAGCGTGAACATGGAGCCCCAGATCTTAGATGCAGTTAACATTGCAATAAAAATGATCAAGAATTGAGTCTGGGTGTATTCTCCCTTCATCATCAACTGAGTTCCCCACCAGTATGCGAGAGCGTTCAAGAACGTGCTAGTGGTGTGATTGATGGCGAGCCAAATATTGGCGGAAGCGGAAGCGCGCACCATTTCCTTCCTTGGCTTCGACAAGAGGTGATTGTAGGAATCCATGAACTGGTTTTCAAGAGAAAGGGCAGCCACGGTACGGATCGACTGAACAGCCTCTGTAGCGACTGAAGTAGCGGTGGAGAACGCCTCAGTGTGACGCTCCTGGTACCGGGCAAGCTGGTGCAGCTGCATGAAACCGGCACCAAGGATGATGGGGATGACCACCAAGCACACCAGAGCAATCTTCCAAGCAATGATGTGAGACAGGATAATGGCAACCAAAACGTTGACGCAGACAGCAAAGAGGGTACCAATTGTAGAGCCGCTGAAACCACCAATAGCGGTGCAGTCTCTAGTAATAATAGCAAGGAGGCCAGAGGGGCTTCGGTTCTCTGACTGGTGCCACTGGACATCCTGTCGCAATAGCGAACGGAAAGAAAGAACTCGAACCGAGTATAGGAGCTTCTCCGAGATAACGCCGAATCCAGACCAGGCAAAGAAGTTGGCGAAGCCTTCAACACAAGCCAACATGAACATCAGTCCGGAGTAGAGGCGGCCAAGAGAGAGGATTCGCTCAGCTGTGTTGGCACAAGGGTTGAGAGCACCGATAGTGAAACCGAAAATGACACCAGATCCAGAGAATGTGCAACCAACGATGATGGCAGAGATGATAGCGAGAGCAATCCATCCGGTAGATGAGCGGATGATCTTCCAAACTCTACCCATAGTCCGTCCCAGAGGCTGTGGGGCATCAAGCTCACCGTCCTTGGTAGTAGGCTCTTCCTTCTTCTTCTTAGATTTCTTCTCTTCCTTTTCTTCATCCACTTCTGGTTCGTCCACTTCGGTTCCTTTGTCCATCGAGAGGAGTCTTCCAGGGCCTGGGTTATCACTCTTCAAAGTAGATGCATCAATGGAATCACCAGAGATTGAGTGGGCGTCTTTGTCCAAGGTTCCAACAGACTGGAGTCTAGCCATGCCGGCGAAGGCACCATCTTCCTTGGCCATTAGGTCCACATACGTACCCTGCTCAATGACCTTTCCAGCTTCCATCACAATGATATTATGGGCGTTGCGGATAGTTGACAGTCGATGAGCAATGGAGATAATGGTTCTGTTCTCAGTAGCCGCCCGCTCAACAGCCAACTGGATACGCTTCTCAGTTGCAGAATCAAGAGCGGAAGTTGCCTCGTCGAGGACAAGAATTTCAGGATCGCGGATAAGAGCACGGGCAAGGGCAACACGCTGCCTTTGCCCTCCACTCAAAAGAGAGCCTCTAGGACCGACGACTGTTCCGAAACCATCTTCAAGGCGTTCAATGAAGCTCATCGCATCAGCCTGCTCGGCAGCCTTGATAACAAGGTCAACAAGCTCCTTCAGGTTGGGGTCAGATGTGATGTTGTCGGCAGAGGATGAGATTTCTCTTCCTTTGACAGCCAACTTGGACAATTCGGGGCCATAGAGGAGAGGCTTCAGATGTTGGTGGGCCGGGTTGGGAGAGTTGACGAGGCCAAGAGCAATATTTTCCAACAAGGAACGGTCAAGTAGCGATGGTTCCTGCTGAACGAAGCTGATGAAGCTACGCAAATTCTTGACATTGAGGTCTCGTAGATCATGGCCGTCTATCTCAACCTTTCCTTCGACAGGATCATACAGACGGTCAAGGAGAGCCGCGATGGTCGACTTGCCGCTACCGGATAGACCGACGATGGCGGTGTAGCTACCAGCTGGGAACTCCATGCTCACGTTGCGCAGTACCTGTTGGCCTGCCCTGGCTGGATATTCAAAGGTGACGTCCTGGAAGCGAATTGATTTAGCCGACCCGACAGTCAACTTGTCGCCCTCCTCTGAGGTTCCGTCCATGGGTGAAGGTGCTTCAATGTCTTCCATGAGACGTTTGTAGGCAGCGGTGGCGCCGCCAAGAACAGGCAAGATTGGGGCAAGGGAGCCGAGCATCACGCAAGCTAGATGGAAATCAATAATTAGCTCCTGGGGTCAACTGAGTAATTGGCTCTCGTGAAGGACCTACCGTCAATCAACAGATATACGACCATGTAGATCTCGCCGATTGTCGCATTTTGCCCGGCGTTGCTCACAGATTCAGCAATCATCTTGCTACCCTGCCAGAAAGCCAGAGCAATTCCAGCGTACGACACAAAATATAGCATTCCAGACTGGATCGCCACGACGGCCGATCGCTTCATACCTGCGTTTCGGGCGTCGCGCATGTAGGTTGCAAACTTGGACTCGAGTCGCTCGGCAGCACCAAAGGCCTGAACGACGGAAATGTGGGTGAGCGACTCCGAGGCAATGGAGGACGCGGCTGCGACCGTCTCGGTTTGCTTGGCGAATTTCTGGATGAAGACGCTGCCCACTCCGACCGACAGCAGGTAGACGGGAAGCATGGAGACGAGCATTCCAGCGAGCCGAGGCTGCTTGGAGAAGGCGATGACGAAGACGGTGATGAAGAAACTCCAGCAAACGATGAAGACACCGACCTTCTCGGAGGTTCCCGCCTGCACAGCTGTAATGTCGCCGTGGAGTCGGCTGGACACCTCGCCAGCAGCGGCCCGCACGTCGAAGAAGGAGGGAGGCTGTCGGAGGAGAGCCGCGACGTAGCGACTGCGAAGACGGTGGGCCAAGCGCTGGCTGATGACACTCCAGGCGACAATGTAGCTGTAAATAAGGACCAGAGCTGCAATTCCAATGTAGACATTGAGGAGGACCTTTTGGTTGATGGACGATTCGTACGAGAAGGGATCGGCGTTGGACTCGCCCTCGGCCGCGCACGTAGCACCGTTCATGTCGTCAACAAGCTGGCCGAAGACGATTCCCATGAGGGGGAAGGGCACACCGGCGGCGGCGGCCGTGATGGTGGCGAAGGCGATGAGGCAGTAGTCGAGCCATGTTGGGTCTGCGGCGAACAAGACGCGGAAGAAGATGAAGAATTGCTTGAAGTCGGTGAGCTTCTAGAGGGAGAATCAATCGTTAGTCGAAACGAATACCGAATGCCGACAGCTCAGAACAGGGTCCGACTTACGAACGACGATGACTTGGGCTCGTCTTTCTTCTCCTGCACTGCGACCGGAGTGGAGGTTGCCTCTTTCGAGGCCGTCTTGTCCTCTGCGGCCATCTCGTTCTGCATCGGAGGGGACCAACTGCGACAATCGGCGTCTGGGGAGGGGGGGAGAAGGGGGAAGAAGAGAAGCGAGAAACACGTCAAAAGCAAAGCGACAGACGTGATCTTTTCAAGGAGGAAATGGCTCCCCATGGACCGAGACCCGCCCGACGATCGGGCCGCTACATTCGTCCATGTTGGGACAGACAGACAACGAGGGATGCATTGTGGATGGAGTGAACGCGAGACGCCAAGGATTATGGATGCATGTGGCCGGCGAACGAAATGCAGAGAAATGCGAGAGGAGGAGGAGGAGAGGAAGAGGAGAAAAAAGAGTGGGGAGAAACGGGCCGTGTGCATACAGTGCGCTGATTGATAACCAGGATGATCGTCATCTGCTAGGGCCAGGGCCGAGCGCTAAATAACTCCCAGGTTTTTACGCTTCTTTTTTTTACGTAGCAGATTCCGACGAGCTCCGCTGCCAAGGGAGGGCGAATCTAAGCCGGTTGGCATTCGCTACCAATGCACCACGCAGCGTTCGATGTTTGTCGCGCATGCAGCCTCACGGATACAGTTGGTGGTCTGGGTAGTGATGGTTCAATCAATTCACTGGAAGCTTTGTCAGGCTTCACCAGCAGCGCTACACTGTTGCGCTGTCCCTTCAAGAACTACAGCACATCAGTCGCCGGAATCTAAGGTGTGTCAGTGCAGTGAGTCAGTGGTGGGGGGGCTAGAATAGCGAACCCTGCGCTGCAAGATAGAGTACAGTGCATCAGTGGCGCAGCTTAGCGGGTGCATTAGGGGCACAGTGCCGACCGGGTAGTCTGTCACTGTCCCACCACCATCAGATTAGATTGATAATTTCTCTCGTTTTGCCCCTCAGCAAACTCTGTCTGGATTAACCTCATTGCCCCAAATCCGACCCGCTGCCAATTTCTGCTCCCGAGGTGGGGGGAGCCTGTTTAATCCATCCTTCGCTCTCTTTGCCTCCGTCTGCCAAGTCTCCTATGTCGGTTGCCCAGGTTGGTAAGCATCAGTAATGTTCCCTCCGTTGCTTTTGTTTTGGGGAGCTCCTCCGATTCTGGTGCAGGAGGGTGGATGTACACCGCAACCAAACATCCCTGCCATTCCCACTTCGTCTGGGTCTTTTGAGGAGCTTTTGTGGCCAATTGCCATAGTTCAATCAATTGAAATGATCGCGAAAAGATGTCTTCTTCGCTGATCATCAGTAGAACGTTATTGCCTGTCTCCATACAGCCCTCATCTATTCCGGCTGGAGAGCTGCCTCTTCCAGTCGCTGGCGCCATCTTGAGACCACGAAATTAACTCGGCCGCTGGACTCCCGTATATCAGAACCCAGTACGCTATATCCAATGCCTTCCTCTTCTAGCAGGGTGCAGAATCTGCGATGAATCTGTATCCACTCCTCATTATCCTTCGGCAACAGCCGCACACCATCATCCTGCAGCCACTCAACTACCGGCTCACACACAATCACCACCGACTCCGCCATCCTCTGCCGGATCGCCTGCCACGTCCCTGACTCGGTTATCTCCTTGGCTGCGTCTGCGCCGGCATATGTGTGTGCGTACACGATCGGGTCCAGCGCGGACCGGTCACTGACAAACCACGGACTTATGCCGAGCGCAGTCCGTTCTGCTTCCACTTGTGCAGCCAGTATTTTCTTCTGAAGCATTAGGCTGAGATCTGGTGAGTTTCGAATATCCTCGGTCGCGAAGCTGATTTCCTTGATTACAATTCGAGCCACTCCGGCGATCAGGCTAGGTTCTGGGATGCCCATGGTACCACACAGCGCTTTGAATTCTTCCGTTGAACCATTGACAAGGGTTGTTTTCCCAGTAGACTGCGAGCCAATAATGTAGATGCTTGTAATGGGTCTCCGGAGCGAGTTTGCCATGTTGAGAAGGCACTGATGGATGAAGTAAACCGGTTGTGTGATTAGTTAATGTCAGCAATCGGTCCCAGGCGAAACCTTTTAATCATTTCTAGCTATACAGCACTGCATGAGTTATCTCCCTCATGCAGGAGGCCAGGCCTTCTAAAGCACGTGAATACAAATCATCCAATCGCGGTGAGCGTCTGCAATGTAACACAAAGAGCCCAGACGGCAAATCTTGAAGCTTGCTCCTTCTCCTCCAAATTTCTGTTTGACTAGGCTTATTGGTGTCTTTTGACTATCAATAAGTTAGGTCACTGTCTCTTCATTAGGCTTCTTTTCTCGAAATAAGATCAACTAGAATGAGATCAACACATCATGAATCTCACTACGCTGTATTTTGGTTTACACGCCCATTAGCCTAAGTTTGCGTCGTCATGGGATGGCAAGAATGCCACTTGATTCGATATTATCGCCGTGATATTCACTTAATTTTGGGATATTGATATAATGAATTGCTTTCTGTCAGAAAATGGCAGCTCGCGGTGATCAAGTGAGGGATGTGATAGAGCTGGCCGTTATAGGGTAGGCAGGTAAGTTGCACAACCACAACTCCTTGCCAAATATCAAGAACTGTTCAGCATATGAACACATCTGTTCTCTCATTTTAGGTCTGGAGACGGTGATGAACACCAGAAACAATGATTCGGTTTGATCATGGCATTTATAGGACTTGGAGCCAAATAAACTCAACGTTTTCGACCGAAACCAGTCAACAATCAACCAATTCCCTGCTCCTACAGCCAGTCACCAACCACCGACCAACAAGTCACAAACAACAATTTAACAACGAATATTTTATAGCCTCGTCGATCGTCTAGGCACCCTTACAAATTGTATCTGCCAGTCAACCAATTTGGAAGATCTCCTATATTCTTTGGGGTATCCCACGGTAGGCGTGATGTAGTGAAACTACCCGTCGAGATGGATAAAAACCAAACACACTTGCGAGATGTGTAAGGATCAACTCCTCTCGGCACGGCAGTACGCCTTGGAAAGGAGGCGATTGCTCAACTACTGTTCAACGCCGCGCCGCCCTCCTTGGACGGCGATGAATCAATTTCATGGGAAAAAGCCTTAGATGGTGGCTGGACAACGCGGTGACGCCAAACATGTAGGAACTCTTTCGAAACCTCCAAGCGGATACCAGTACTCGTGAGCACAATGATGGAGCCACTCATTATGACCTTGTATTTGGTGCGCATTGAGATTTCCGTCTAGAAAAAATGAACAATGCTCAGCCTCAGTACAAGTGCAAGGTATGTATTAGCGGCGGTTTCTACAGTTGTGTTCAATCTTTCAAAGAAGGGGGAGGTGCTTGGATCCATCACATATATTACTGTACCACGCTACATCTCCTTTTCATACACCTAGTTAGTTTTGTTTACATTTCCAAATTAGATGTTGTATGGCAAATACACTCGTAGCAACGATTTAAGTTACTTGTATCTTTCTATACGAACTTTTGAATCGAAGGCTATGTTGTGCGGAATGCAATTCAAGAAAATTAGATACAAAGATGTTATAAGTAAACAACATGGAAATATGTGTCCCTATGTCAGCTTTTATCATAACGATATTTGTTTGTTCAATTTAGAAAATGCGGATATCTATCATTAGGCAAATCCCAGACGGTGAGGAATGTCTATGCGTAGCTATAAAATCTGTTACAGGCTCCTTCACAAGGTATGTACTTGCATACAGACTTCCGTTCCTAGAGCGAGCGATGCCGGCACACAACTGGCGGCATGGAGATACAAAGGAAGGGACAATGCAACCCTGGATTTATGCACCACCCGCTGGAACCGTCGCAGTTTCTACCCTCCTTTGGTGGCCTATGGGTTGAGCGATACACCCCCGTCGCCCACTACCCTAGCTTAGTTGTTCAATAATCTTTAGAGGAGGGTTACTGAGATGCAACCTCATGGGAGGCATTCGCCCATTCCAGTGATGTGTCCCTCATGGATCGAATTACTCTAACAGGCAACCCTCGCGCACCCTTCTCCAGTATGCATACGTCGTTGGACTGCAAAAGTCCTTATATTAGAGCTTAGTCACATGAAACCTTCCAATGATTGGCATAGCCATGTAAGCGAGCTATTTTCGTACTGAACGCGATTCGTCGACGATGTCGCCAAGCCGATTGGTGCGTCATCGCTGAACTCTGAAGGTGTGACTCTCTTGTGGCCATCCTATAAGGTAGCCTCCCACCCACCATTGAGTAGTCACCAGGGGAGTTTCAAGCAAGCGACCGCAGACACGATGTTTTCATCCTCACTCTGGCCCCTTTGGGGCATGGTTGTACCGGTGCTTGTCTACGTTATCATTCGAATCTTCCTCCGCCGAGACGATCGCTACAGGCTACCTCCTGGGCCACCAGGACTCCCTCTAGTGGGAAATATCCGAGATCTGCCCCCCGCTGGGGTGCCGGAATTCGTACACTGGATTAAGCACAAGGATCAATATGGGCCGATTAGCTCTGTGACCATCATGGGGATGACGCTCATAATAGTTAATGATAAAGACATGGCCCACGAGATGCTGGACAAAATAGCTGGCAAGACTTCAGGTCGGCCAGATTCTATCTTTGCAAACAAAATGTGCGGCTATGAATCTATCATCCTTTGCAAGGGTTACAACAAAACTTTCAGACTCTACCGCAAGCTTTTACACCAGGAATTGGGTACAATGACTTCAGCTGCCCAATTCCGCAGTATCCAGGAACTGGAGATGAAGCGACAACTTATAAGGACATTGAGAGCACCTGACAAATTGTTGGACCACTATAGAACGTGAGAGCCTCATTTTCAATTCCATTAGAAAAATGGAACTCTAATAAACGCAGGTCCGCCGGTGCTACCATCTTGAAGATGGCATATGGCTATACACTTGAGCCACACAAGCCTGATTATCTGGTAGAATTAGCTGACCGCGTGCTGAGTGATTTCTCCCAAGCCGCGGTACCAATGTCCTGGCTCGTTGATATTCTACCCTCTCTGCGGTATCTACCCGAGGGTACACCTGGTGCAAAATTTATTACCACAGCTCGTATAATGAGGAAAAGGGTTGAGACTGCCGCAGAGCTGCCATTTCGCTTTGTCCAGCGTCAAATGACAGCCAAGAGCCACCAACCCTCCTACGTTTCAAAACTGATAGAGTATTTTACTTTATCTGATGGAGATTCGGGAAACCTGGATCCCCTTGATGAGGATGCAATCATGTGGACGGCTATGGCTTTGTATGGCGCCGCCTCCGACACGACCGTGATAACACTCACCGCATTTACAGCCGCCATGATCCTCTACCCGGATGTGCAGCGGAAAGCTCAAGATGAGATCGACCGAGTGGTGGGCTTCGGTAAACTGCCGAAATTTGAGGATCGCGATAAACTTCCATACGTTAACGCATTGATCAAAGAAGCCGCCAGGTGGTGGCCCATCACCCCGATGGGGTTTCCGCATGTTGTGGACAGTGATTTCGACTACAATGGCTTCCGAATCCCCAAAGGGGCAACCATACTCCCATCTGTCTATTGGTTTCTGCATGATCCTGAGGTGTATCATGAGCCAGAGACTTTTGAACCCGAACGTTTTCTGGCTCCACGAAACGAACCCGACCCCACGTCTGATGTGTTTGGCTACGGGCGGAGGATCTGTCCCGGGAGGTTTTTCGCAGATTCCAACTTGTACATCAACATTGTGCAGTCTCTGTCCATGTTCGATTTTAGACATGCTGTGGGTGACGACGGAAAGGAAGTCAGCATCAGTTTGGAACCCCAGCCCGGGATCTTAACGCATCCGAACAGGTTCCAGTGCTTGACAACTCCTCGGAGTCGCCAGCATATCGACTTGGTCAATCAACTGGAGGTGGACACTCCGTGGGAGCCAAGTGATGCCGAGCATCTTCAGAGTGCTGCCATACAATGAGACTGGAGAGCATACCAAGTTTACTGAGATGTTAATATAAAAGATTACCAACGTGTAAGAGGTATTGAATAATATACATGGTCGTAGTATGTATCAGAGTATTAAGCGTTATAACCATATAGCTAGCTTACAAGTAGGATCAGAACTATCCAAGTGCAACAATATATGATTTTGTTTAAGAATATCAACATCACGGATCGGAAAAGGTAAATAAATATATAGTAATAATGCTCTTCTGGAGCTAGCAAGCAGATATCTAAGATGGCTTGATAGTAATCCTTGGAATTTGAAGCGATGCTACAGTACTCCCCCTCATGATACAGTATGGTACACCCCCAAACAGCCGTACCTTGGGAGGGAATTGCTAGTCTCACCGCCTCTTAGCAAAACAGATTTTCGCGCCAAAATCAGGATGCACCTCAGTGTCATACTTGGTATTTGCTGGACGTTCAGTTTGGCCTTCAGGAAATGAAATATCATATCTGATGAGCAGGTTCGCCAGGATCAGCTTGATCATGGCGGCGCCGTACCACCGTCCCGGACAAGTGAACCTGCCATTCCCCCATGAAAGGTTTCCTGGCTCAATACCTGTATAGTCTTGCGTCGTACCTGCAGAAACCTTCGAAGCATCGTCACTGAGATTAGCGGCAGAGCTGTAAAAGCGACGGCCGTCGAAACTGCCTGGGTTCTTGTAGTATTCCGGGTCTCGCGACATGGGTCCCCCGGGCATCATAATCAATGATCCTGGAGGAAGGATAGTTCCGTCGGACAATTTGATGGTGGACATGACTTTACGGTCAAAGCCAACTATGCAGTAAACGTGAGCCTCGGATAAAGCCTCGTGATGGTGCGGAGGGGCTGGGAGGAGAGGGTAACTTACGGAAGGTGGATTGGTTCACACGCTGCGATTCTTTTAAGAAACTATCCAGTTGACGCAGTTTCTTGATGGTCGAATACTGCCACACTCCACCACTCTCTGCTAGAGCTGACTCTGCCTCTTCTCGTAGGGCTCCGACATACTCCGGCATAGCACATAGATCAAAGAGGGCATGAGTTGCTGCCATGGTCGATGTATGAAGCTTTGAATGTTAAATATTTAGTTAGCTTTACCCAATACACCGATTGACTATGCACCTACCGCTGCGGCCGTTAAAAGCAAAAGTCTGGCTGTCAAGCTGTCAGGATCATGATCCCTTTTGCTCTCTATGAAAAGCTTCAGAACACTTGGCTCATCGCTAGCAACCACGTTCCCGGATGGGAATAGAACATCGCGCGCCAACTTCCGTTGACGAAAGATGTTATTCCGCTGCGGAATGAGAGGCGCAATGAAGCGTCTAAGAGAGGAAGGGAACGGCAGCAAAATGAATTTCGTGATTTCAACGTTGATGGGAAGATCTGTTACGGCACGAGTCCATGCTGGATCATGGCAGTGTTGCTTGCCGACGAAGACTAGGGACGAAATGCGATGAATGATGGAGTACAGAAGTTCGAATGCAACATACGACTCTAAATTTGACCACCAATTTTGATAAGAGTCAGTGAACAAAAGATTTCTGAATATCCCAGATCTTTGAGTTATTAACTTACCTCTGCCCATTTTCGGATTCAACATCTCTAGCATAGCGTCATTAAGCTCTTCGGACATGAGGGGAAGGAACGTTGCTATAAAGGGTAATTTTAGATTAGATATCTCAGTATCTGGAATCACAACTCACGTAGGTTTCTTGTAAAACTCCCTCGGCAGATGTCGGACGTTAGGTGATCTCGAAGAAGAAGATCCACCCCAGAATATTCGCCCAAAACGCTGTCGACCAATGCTGCCGTGGAGCTCAGCTGAGACTCCGGGAGCATGTTGAGCTCACGGAGGAACCTAGGAGCAAGAACGACAGTATTCCCCGTTATGGTGTGGATGATGTAGTTGAAGCCGTGGGATTTTTGCTGTTGAGCGATTAGATTCAGGACAGATCTTTAGAGCGCATGATTCTTCATTGTTTTACCCGATCATAATGCTGTGTTATGTCCCAATGTCCGGCCTGGTACCATTTCCATCGCGCCCACCAAGCCCGCAAGCCGAGAGGTCCGGGATCTGCACCCACTCTGGGGAGATCGGGCTGGGGCAGCCACAAGCTTTCGAGGAGACAAGTAACGGCCCATGCCACTGCGAGAGCAGCTACAGCTTCAAATAGCATTATGAGAAAGCTCATGTCTATCAATCTTGGTGATGAGCATTCGTGTGGTCTCAAGCCTTGGGTTCAATGACACTTGAGCGGAGTAGGATGACGCGCGTTGAGGAAATCTGACATGCACTTGGCCGCGTTAATATAGGTCCCTGCCTAGGAGCGATGAAACTGGGGCATGCCGACTGATAACACCTTCCGATAGATTACGGTAATACGACCTCAGCTATTAGTCGAAACTGAAGGCGGATGCATCACAGCGCCAAACTACTCTGCTTTTGCGCACAGCACGCGATTCTTCCTTTCAATAAATTGATAGATATATGCCTTGACTCGTCAGAGTACTTGGAATGTGTCACTAGCCTATGATTAATCCCGATATATACGGAGAGAACTCATGGTTTCAGATGACCCGCCTACTTATGGTGGCCCTTATGTCTGATTCCTTCAACTGCCTATGATTTCCCTTTCCTAAACCCAGATAGTCAACGAGCCTTAGATGGTTCCGAAAATGCAATCCCTCTTATTTGAGGGTTGGAATTCCTAATCTCTCTTGAAATTCACATGAGTCGTGGTCAAGAAGAAGTCGCTAGTAAAGTCGCGAAGGCAAAGACGCGCGAAAGTAATGAGTCGGGGCCCACTTGTCAATTCGGCCAGGTTAGATAAATTAGCTATTTTTTCGTATCCGTAGAAAAAGACATGCTTTTTACCCCTTCTTATTTTCACTTTTAAAAATCCCTTCTTATGAAAGATACGTCTTTCGCAACCTCACGGCGGCTACGATCGGTTAATTGACTAGCTGTAAACGTGATCCATTTGATCAAATAAGAATACACACAAAACTCAAAACCTCCTTTTCATAGCTGTTGTGGAAGGTTGTTTGATTTTGGTGTGGTTAGCAGTCTGCATTTCAAACTCGCTAACAGCTGTGGTGTTGTTCGTTTATCCCCAACACAGTAATCAATTTCTAAATGCAACTTAATACAAGATACAGGTACATGAATAATTATCGATCAACACCTTATCACCTAGCTTGCTTTTGTATAAATGTGAGTTATGTTTTGCATTGTTATGAGAAAAGCCAAACCTCGTTGCTTGCCATAGTAAGAACCATCAAATGAAAGAAGAGGAGGGTAAGTAGGAGGTTAAAAAGAAACCCTGTTCATTGTATTGAGTTTGTTGGGTCTGACATCTTCTTTGTTTAACGTTCAAGCGATCTCCTCCGGGGTGATGAACAAAAGCGAACGAGACCGAGAATCGCAATACCCTATCAACCATGCTATCTATTGTATTCTAATATCAGATCTGAATAAACAACTGCCTTTAATTGTCTCCAGTACACTCGGCAAGCCCAGGCTCATCTACATCTACACCCCCAAAGGCATGATCATGGATGTAGGGCGAGAACGGATTGAAGAAGACATTGCCTAGTGCTGTGTCAATAGGCAGTGGAACTCCAGGCAGATCGAGCCCAAAGGCTGAATCAACAGTCGGGGCCAGGCTTGTCAGGTTGTTCCCAAGCGAGGGAGACCCAAGCACGGCTGTAGCATCATAGTTTGGATTTCCAAACGATGGTATGACTGCAGTGGTGGGAGCAGCAACACTACCACCCTGGCTGTGGACAACATTATCCAGGCTTGGGCGTTTGATGGAAGGCCCTTGACGCGAGGTGGGAAGGCTGTTGCAGAAATCACGACAGACATTGTCCATGATTATCTTGACGGGTGAAACATTACTCTGGCGATGCTCCCGAGACAGACCAGGGAAGGCAGCATGGAAGTGACTCTCCACAATAGGCGAGATGAGAGAGATTACCTCCTTGATGTTGTTGGACTCCTTGTAGGGAGTCTGTGGCTTGGTGTGTCCGGGAAAGAGCTGGTTCCAGATAGCAAACCATTGGCTCGCAGGACTTGATCTTCGGGAAAGTTTTGTTTCTTTCAATTTGATGAGCTCCTGGGGCGAGAGCTTTTCCGGCGCAGCAACGATGCTACAATTGCCATCGCGGAGATGGAGCATCTTGGATTGCTCGTCAATGAATGGGTTATGGCACACTAGACAGGAGGTGGAAAGTTCTGATAATGAGTGGAAGCGAACTAGATGCTGCTTCATATCGGAAATTCGGGCGAATTGAAATTTTTTGCATCCATCGCAAAGGACGGGGTTGAATTTGTAAAAGGGACAGGCGAAGGGCCTGTTGGAAGCTCTCGGGCTGGCGATGGTCTCTCTTGATTGATAGAACGACAGATCGCCGGGGTCTAAAGCAGAGTTGGCCTGGAATCAGTTACCGGAAACAACTAATGAAGCGCAAGCTTTGATTGTGCAAAGGGGTATTGCACCTACGGGCATTTTGCTTTCGTAACCCATGAGGAAGATAGACTGTGTTGGGATATAGTTGATATCTCCCGAGCAGCTGACCGAGCGCTCTATCTTGCTGTGACATGTTGGTCAAGAGAGGGGTGAATGGAATCATGGATGGTCATCCAAATTGAAGATTGAAGATAGCTGCAATTCACGGCTTGATATGTGACTGTCCTCATTGAGATTTTCGAGGGCAAGAAAGTGGTGGAAAACGACTTATATAGATACCTAGGTAAAAAGGCCCCACATAAACCCATAGTTACCCTTATTTGGGCGTTGATAATCAGTGCGAATGGTGGTGGTGGTGGTGGTGGTGAGGAGAGAACGAAGACGACTGTGCTATGCCCAACAGCTACCAGTGGACGGCAGGGTCGTCAGATGCAAGGCGAATAACGCCTTAGTAAGACCTAATCCCATTACGGCTTTTCAGTAGATTCTCTCGTCTAAACAATCAGCCCCGACCGAGCGTCACAACGGTGTACTTGGATTCGTGCTGATTGGCTATTCTGGCGTCTACCACCAGCGGGCAACGACGCCATGCGTATGTTGTGCGTTTGGTGGCTCGATTAGATCACTCGACTCGACTCGATCACTCGACTCGACTAGATCACTCGACTCGACTAGATCACTCGACTCAACTGGGGCATCTGTCAAATGGCGAAGCGGGCGTACATCTTCATTTGGCGTGCGTTCTCATTTGGCGTGCCTTTTTTGTTCCTTTTGGCGTACATTTCCATCTGACGCACCCATTTCATCTGCCCCAACAGCGCAAATTGTCATGTTTCCTTGCCGTCCAATGAGACGACATTACCGTTCGAGTCGGTGCTCTGCCAGGATAGGTTTTCAGCATAGAGCATACAACCGGGTAGTGACCAATGGCTTTCTGATCACGCTGCGTCGTATAGGATAGCGTATCCTTGTTGTAAATTGAAACACCAACGAGCACGGCCCCAAGATGAAGCCATTTTGACAAGACTGATCGCAAGGAGTTTCTTTTCTTTGTTTCTATCCAAGGACCCACCAGTATTCATCTGAAATCCGGTAAAAGCTCCTAAATATGTAAACAAATGCTCTTTTCGGGAAAAATGTCAAGTGGTTACTTATCTACAGAGTAATATAAGGAGGTTATTCTCGCTCTCAGCAGCAAGTAATTAAATTGCCTCCGGTATGTGAAGGGTAGAATCTGGCAAGCGACGCCGCAGCATCAGAGATGAGACCACCAAAACCAAGAGAGTTTTTCAGAAGCAAACGCTACTGAAGGTTTATAGATTAGATTGGTAGTATAACTAGTACTCATACCCCAAGTGATATCATACTTAATCAAGGTGCAGAAGACACACAAATAAGATTTAAGTTGCAAGTTTGAGATATATTGGCTATCAGCAGCTTTCCTAGTAAACCAAGTTATGATTCTACGCCATACCGGTATTGCCCCAGCACAAATAGCCTCCTCAAGCGCCGCGCTCCACGCCAAACCACGGCGACAGATCCCACTGCCAATCTTCGATCTTGTTCGGGTCTCCAAAAGTCTTCAAAGACCTTCTAAGATACCTATACTCGCCATCGACGAGCTCCCCGCCCCATGAGAATGTACCGGATGGTCTGGCGTGGAATTGTCTACTTATACGTGGGAAGTTCACGACGGGGAAGTCAGCGACCACGAAGTCATCTCCGTCACCAACAGTCCGGAAGCTGCCAAAGAAGTTCTTCTCCCCGGGGACAAGTGGCCAGGCCCAGTCCTCGGGTGACCAATCTTTGCCGACAAACTGCACAATGTCAGCATTGATTCGGCGTGCTTAGATTCAGCCAAAAAGTCTTGGCAATGTCACTTACATCAAAACTGAACTCTCTTGTTGACCATGCGATGACAAATGGCAGGTAAGGGACGTTTTGGTCATCGAAAGAGTAGGTCTTTCCTTCTGTCATGGCCTGGCCGTCAGGATCCTGAAAAGGTGGGTTGATACCACCAAAGTGGGGGAAGTTGTTGATGGAACCTTTCAGACCTAGATGAGGAGTTAAAGTTGGCACCGCTGATAAAAGAGAAGATGCGGGGAAGTCTTACCCAAGTAAGATACGCGGACGGTCTCGTCATTGTTTCCAGATATGACAATGGCACCCCCGTATATGGGGAACGTGCTGTTGTCGCTTGCAGAAGGCTCTGTAAAGTGAACTTCAACGCTCACAGTCTCACCAGCGGCAATCGTAACCTCCTCCACTGACAGTTCGACACTGGCCAGGTCGCTGCTTTCAGTGGAATGAGGTGGCGATAGGATAAAAAGCCCAGTTTCAGCGTTTCTAGGGAAATACGTTGGCTCAGTGCTGTGACTCAGTTTATACGTGACCTGCTCGTCTCCATTGTTGGTAATCTGAATCTCATTGGTAGACTTGAAATTGTCCGTGTCGTTGAGCTGGATGTATGAGGGGTTGACAGTTGTCGAATAGAGCACTGCCTTGAGTCCATCAACGAGGCCCGCACCCTGCTGGCCAACTGAGCTAGTTTTATTATTTATAGTCAGCATCTTTATTCTACCAACTTGATCCTTGATTTACGGCAAATATCTTACGCGGGTGCACCAGATCCGTCTGGATTTTTGATTGATCTAGTGCTGGCGATGATTCGACGACGAGCAGAAGCAGCGGCGTCAGATTTCTCCTGGCGAGTGCCGTGGACACCAAGAACGAGAGCACCGAGGCCAGCAGCCTGCAATTAAGGTTAGCCGGCCAGTCTCTATCACGAATCCTGAATATAGAGATACTAGTAGTGTAGTAAGTGAGGGAGCTGTACAGCTGCTGAAAAAAAAAAGGGGAAATTCCCAGACACCAGTAATTTGATAACTTGATACCATACCCAGGCATCACAACACAATAATAGAGATACTAGAACTTACATATGGAGAAGCCATGCTGGTTCCGGAATACGTGACCCAACCGCCACCCGCAGCAGTGTTGTAGATCGTACCACCTATTAAATGATCATCAATATTGCAAAGCGGCATCACGGATGAGACAGGAATAAAACCCACCTGGCGTAACGACCTCGGGCTTCATTCGCCCATCGATGGTAGGACCCCATGAACTCCAATTGTTGAGTCTGCCGCCTGCCCAGCTTGGTCTCTCAGCAGCCACCGGAGAGCTATCAGGATCGAAACTGTAGGTGACATCATAACCGTTCTCGTGTTGAGTTACCAACCAGTCACCGTCTTCGTAACTAATCAAGGCCGCTATTAAATTCATATTATATCAGCGGGGTCGTTCGTCAAGAAGAGTAGGAATCTGACTCACTGCCTACGGGCTGGACTGAGGGATCATATATCAGGCGGGTAGGCACTTCGTACTCAGCATCCTTGAGGTTGTACCAAAATGCCCAGTCGACTCTGTTGTTGAGGATGTTGTCATGGCTCTGCCAGCTGCAAATAGTGTTGCGTCTGAAACATGTTAGCGGAAATTAGACAGTCAAGGAGGGTTACTGACGGCAAAACGATGAGGTTGTCGTCTGGGATTGGGGATGGTGCTGTCCACTGAAGGCAAGGGTTAAATGTTCGTGTGTCTGCGTCCAGCCATGAGGCAGTGACGTTTCCGGTCCTATTGAATGGTCGACCATCGTTGCTGGTATAGGCCTTGCCGAATAGTGTCAGTTCATTACGACAAGATTGTAGATTCGGATTCTGTCTTACAAAAGTTCTAGATTCCCCGCTCGAGGAGTAGGCAGTAACCATGTGCGCAATCAGAGTTTCATGTTCAATGCTGCCAATGGTGAGACCGCCGAAGTTGTTTCCCAGGTTCGTAGTGTAAAAGGGCCCTGTTTCACAATCACAACAATTAGCGAACTTTACCTCTTCACCTAACTTGACTTCCACATACCTTGCGCACCCGAGTTCCCTGCCGCGATGACGATAAGAGTACCCTGTTCTTGAATCCTTGAAAGCAAGAGAGCGATTGCGCTATCTGGGAATCCACGGTCTGCTCCCAGAGAGCCATTAATCACATCTGCACCCTCCTCATGTGCACGTATAAATGCCGCCATGGCAGTATCCTCGGTTGCACCGCCCGAGCAATCGAAAACTTTGTATGGTCGAAGTGTGGCCTTGGGCGCAACGCCTTGAACATACTTATCATCGGCACCAATAATACCGGCAACGTGGGTTCCATGGCCATTGCAGTCCATGACATCTGGTGAGTCGCCTATGAAATCCCAGCCGCCGTCGATCTTGAAGCCGGCACCGAGGCCGCCTCCCAGAGCGGGGTGGGTGTAATCGGCGCCGGTGTCCACGATGCCGACGACTACGCCTTCACCCTTGTGTCCTAGAGTGTGAACCTGGGACACGTTGGTTTCCTTATGAGGATCCCAAGCAGCGAGGGCCGCCGAGTCTTGGAGGAAGCCTTGGGACTCGGCATTGAGTGTCATGTATGTTGCTGGCCATAGTCTTCCCACCTCGGGGAGGTTCAGGATGTCAGCTACAGCCTGCTCTGTGGCGTTGGTGATCTCAAATGAGGCTCCATGGAACAGCTCAGAGTTGAACGTAATGGCCGGCTCCGCGCTTACGCCTCCGTCCTGGAGTTTGCTAATAAAAGCCTCCGTATCCTAAGAACGTCAGAGGGGAAACAACCAAGGTTTTTATATCTGGGTTACGTACACTCTCCCCATCTCGTTTTCTAAACTTTGCTGAGCCAGCATCTGAGAATTCAACAATATATCTTGTTGGCTTGAAGAGCTCTGCTTCAATGTTCTCTGACTGGGCAGCCACTAGGCCGCCCGCTAGAAGAAGCGAGGCCGGCAAAAGTGTCGATATGGAAATCATGATGAGACTGTTGAATATTTGATTCAACCTACTCCACAAGAGATTGGTCTATGGATTGGGTTTATACACCTGGTTATATGGCTATACGAATGGCCTGATGGTTCAGGATAAAAATCCGGATATTTGACATAAGTCTAAACCCGAGGAAAGTTCTCAGGCGATCCGATGTGACGTAGATTGTTAACAAACCCCCAAAGAGGAAGGCTTGGGTCCTAGCGAAGCTTGGCTGGCGGAGAAGTAGGGTCCGATAGTAGACCGATGTAACGAAAACCAGGGGCAGAGTCGGGTTGGCTAATGATTGAGGAAGGTATGAGTAGGGTGGAATGTCGCAACACTTGCGCATATTAATTAGCTAACCATCTGTAATAGAGAGCTTGGGTAGTATTCTTTGCTTCGGGCTGTTCGTTGACACCGGAATCGTAATTATTCCTCTCTACCTCCGCTGCAAGACGCGGTGAAAAAGGTTATGGACGTATGAATGGCCATGGTGACAGCTGATCCGGTCCCCTAAAAGAAACGCCTCAGAGAAAATTGAGTGATTTAATTATGATTTTGGGCGGCGGCAGTTCTTGACAATCAGGAGGCCTCATTTCGACATCATAGGAAGGTTGTATAACGTGACAGACCTACACCTATATCAAGACAAGGTATTCATTAATTGATGGCCAGACGCTGTTAGACACACCAATCCAAAGATCTCACGCGGACGATCTAATTGCATCCTACTTGAGTTGGCTCATACTGAGGGATATAAATAAGCAATGGTGGTGAGGTAAGTGTGAGAGCTGTTTGGCAGTGCGTCCAACTCTGCTTCAAACAAGGCATCATGGGCTGATCATATAGAGCACCACCCGGTACCACATTGAGCTCTCCCTTGATCAATGCTATTCTACAACTATACTTCTACTTCAGCCTACTATTGAAGCGATTTCAATCTCTCGGCCTTGCCCCTCCTCCGAAGCTACCTCTCACTCTCTGTTAGACTTGAACAGCTCCGCCCAGCAATTGATGAATGACCTTCAAACTAGCTGCATGTTGTTTATTAACGCAGAAAGACCCAGTTTATAACCATTTTCCCAGGGAGAAGAAAGCGGCACGGCGGAGCCTGTAAGAAAAGGGAAGAAATAGCGCAAAGGCCAAGCAGGGGGCCGAGATTGATAAGATTCCACGCACCGTATGGTAAATTCTAATCCCACTCAGTTCTCGTTTTATGCTCACTTGACTTGGCCTCTTCTGTCATTCTCATCTTCACTGTTTTGGCACTCTCCAAAGGCCAAACCAAACTGGACTATTCCAGTCGGGATATGGCCGATCTTGTGATGGCACAAACTCAGGTTTTGGTGCAAATCCACTCTCGGGTTTACGCCGGTTTTGAGGCTCCAGGGTGAATCAAACAAATGAGCAACATCGGGATAAACCCGGCCTCCCGAGGGTATTTCTCAGTCTCCAAGGAGCTACAGAGTCAACCATCTTACGACATTCATTTATCCTGCTGGATTGATTCACTCGAGGACAGCTCCTCTTGGTGTTCATGATGCTTCACCTCACGGCCAAACCAGCTCGTCAGCTGCTGCTCCCGTCGCGGTACGCGAACCGCCTGGCCCGTTACTCGGCATTGGCCTCTCCCCGGGTCGCCGTTCTCTACCAAGCCCTCGAACCTCCGATCATCAATGGGGTGCAGAAGCCCAAGAAGCCCGGCGGCTACCAGGACTCAGGAGCCGACATCGCCTACAACTTGGCCCAATGCGCCAACGTCAACGTCATCACGCCCACCCAGAATCCCGTGCCTGAGAAAGATGGCGATTGGTGCTTCCCCGACACGGAGGAGGGCATCTTGAGTGCCGTCGACAAGGGCGCCAACTACCTGTGGTCCAACACGATTGTCTTCGCGTCGCATCCCCTCCAGACGTCGGCTCGCCTTTTGCCATTTGAGGACAAGGTCCGGGTGATCGGGCAGGGGCCATTGGTGGTAGAGAAGTACGACGACAAAGAGTACGTCAACGATTACCTGCGCTCTGTCGGAGGCTTCACCATGCCTCGCGTCTTCACCGCCCCGTCTCGGTCCGCCAAAGATATCGCCGCTGTTGCTGAGCAGCTGTCATACCCGGTGGTGGCGAAGCCCATCCGCGGCCGTGGAAGCCATGGCGTCAAAGTCTGCCACAATAAAGATGAGTTCATCAATCACGCCACAGGGCTCTCCGACAGCAACATGAGTTTCATGATTGAAGAATTTCTCAAAGGCGAGGAGGCGACTGTGACTGTCATGCCTCCTATAGAGAAAGGGAAGGGGTATTGGGCTCTCCCTGTAGTCTCCCGATTTAATCACCAGGATGGCATTGCGCCATACAACGGCGTGGTGGCCGTCACAGCTAATTCTCGCGTTGTGGAAAATGGCGACGCCGACCCTCTGTACAACCGCGTAGCGAGGGAGTGTGAGAAAGCCGCCTCTCTGCTAGGCTTGACGGCGCCCATTCGGATCGACGTACGGCGTTTCAAGGACTCTCCTGATTCACCATTTGCGCTATTCGATGTTAACATGAAGCCTGTAAGTCGCATAAAAAGAAATCATCTCAACATTTTTCCAGGAGACTAATTTGGAAAACAGAACATGACTGGCCCGGGAAGACCTGGCCGTGACGATCAGGCAAGCTTAACGCTCATGGCTGCCAACGGCCTCGGATGGGACTACAAAGAGCTATTGAGGCGGATCCTAGGCACATCTAGCTCTCTTAAAACGCTTCGGGGTCTTCGCCCAGTGGGTTTGTAAATATAGATACCATAGAAGACGGACAAATAAATTCAAAAGTAAGAATGCTGGAAGATCAATTCTTAAGGAACATAGCGACAGCTTGGATTGCTCTAAATCGCCGTCCTAATCGCACGTACATGCGGCAAAGTTGTAGTAGGTATCTATCACGAGTCCGTGGGTCCCACCTCCTCGGCTCCCATACCAAAAAAAAAAAAAAAAAAAAGACACTTAATGTAAAATCAGTGGCTAGAATGAAGTAGCAAAAAGAATATGCAAACAAAAAAGATGGATGATGTGATAATGCAAATATCGCAAAAGATTGACCAATAACAAAAGAATGATCGCGGCAGGGTTCGAACCTGCGATCTTTTGGGGGCATACAACTGTTGGCTGTAAACCAAACGCCTTTCCACTGGGCCACGCGACCTTCTATGCCTGCTTGGGTAAATCTTCAGGGTTATATAGTTGCAGCCACTAACAGCGCTCGAGCTTGGGGCTTGGACATAGTCAAATTTTGCTGACCTTACAAGGCTTGAAGTTATGTACAACTGATCGCCATTGATAAAAGTTTTACATGATAACCTCCATAAGACAACATCATCCCAATTTCAGACATTGTCAATAATATGATTGCCTGCCTAAAGCTATACTTTGTCGCAACTTTCACATCATTAGCCGTCCAACACCGCTGAGTTATGACTATAGGGTAGATGCCGATATCGGCTGCCTGCGTTGATGCAGTGTGAAGGATCACCACCCTTGTCAACCGAACACCCCCCTCAACCGAACACTTTGCAATTTCATTGTTCCATCTAAAAAGACCTTTATAAACCATTGACCATATGGAAGAATGGACATGGTTAGTTCTCGTAATCATATCTGTTGTTAAGTAGTCACATTCCGTCTACCTTGGAATGAATTGCTTCAGCTTGCCTTCGTAGATCTTTGACCTTCATCAGCGTTTGATGAATTGGGCATTGGAGAATACTAGAATTCGCCGTCGATGCAAAGACAGGATGAATATCCTTCTTGATGGCTTCCATCATGCATCCGATATGGCCTTCTAGATCTTTTACAATTTTGTCGACGACGTGGCTGACTCGAGTTGAAATCGTATTGACCATGTTTGGAAATAATACGCCGTCAGTAATACGATTGTTGATCACTGCTTTCTGGCGAAGGGCTGCGCCTTCGCCCGTGGCTGTTTGATGTGGGATTAGTATTAGTCTCTGCAGATGGTCATTCGTTGGATTAGAGAACTTAAATGAGCTTACTTCCTTGATAACTAGCCACGCGATAAGCCGGAATCATCTCGTTGAGGATGATTGAAGTAGAGTTTGTTTCGGAAGCAGAGCGGCGGACAAGACTTTGCGAAGTTAATACCTCTTATATGAAACGTGGCTTTTTTTTATCTCACCCTATTTCCCGATCAAAGTTTTCCTCCGAAAGCCTGAGCGTATACTCAAGACCTCGAATATGCGAATAGATTACGTCCGCCAGCAAGGTCTGGACTCTGACTGGAGCAAGGTCTGGTAAACGATGTCAGATCATATCCTTAAACTTGTTAAAAACTTCTTCTTACTTTGGATAGTGCCCTTGAGTGAGACCAAGAGAGTGCTTACTGTCCCTAAAAGGGTGCTGAAGACTTCAGATCTCTCCTGCTCGAGCAACTCCCACTGATATTCGAGCTCGCTACGCATCTTCCAGATAATCTTGGCATTCCAGTCTTCACGCCCACGTCCATCGGTCTCATGGTTGCCATCATGTAAACACCATGCGTTGAATTGGGCTATATACGTTCGTTAGTTTTGGCACGGGATGGGTAAAGGTGTCACATAATCATACACCAATGCCACTGGATCTTGGTCAGTCGGCAAATTTCGTAGTTTAGCGGCTCGCTCAAGTTTTACTCACAGTTTCCCATTTCGATAGTTCATTCTCTGCAGCGAACATCCATTCTGCGTGTCTATTGTCTTTGTTGCATTGTCAAAAGAGTCGCTTTATCAAATGGAGCACTTGAACTAACCTGACAGTTTCATTATTTGATCATCAAAACAGGCCATAAAATCTGTTTGGACATTCGTGACTGCAGCGCTTGAAAGCCTCTCCTGCATATATCGTTAGCAGCAAAGGCCAGTTTTAGGTTGGGGTTGGAATAGCTAGGTACCGTTGCAGAGATGGCATCATGTGCTAACTTTTTCGACTTTATTAGAGCCACATTGTCATTTGATGAAGAGGCTAGACTGTTCAGACAAACTTCAAATGAAGTGACCAGATTGAAAAGAGAGGACTGGAGGAAGTCTTTTGCCTCCCGAAGCTGCGCGTCGGCTGTGATCTGTAGACAGAATTTGCGCAAGCCTGGGATGCCACTTGCCTCGGTGAACTGGTTGTTCTCTTTCTTCGAGTACTTTTCGTACATTTTATTCGAGACGAAGAAGAAATCCAATTTGCTTCCAGGGACCTTGGAAGAATATGCGGCTTGGAGGCCGTCCTTGACGTGGTTGTTGCGTGCTTCTATGAACAGAAGCTCTCGACTGTGTATGTTAGTGTAACTTTCCGAACCGGGGAATGAAAAAGTGACCTACCTCCCCTTCAATTCTTTTTTGAGCTCTTTGTTTCCATGGGCCTTGGCCTTTTCGATATCCTTGTCAAGCCTTTCAAGAATAGAGCATTCAATTCCTTTCTTGATCCTACCAAACTCATACCTGGCAGATTCCTCGTTAATATCCTACATAGGTTAGCATATATGACCTATAAGCTAGCCAGATGAGTTACATGCTTCGGATCTGGTGCACACAATGGCAATACTCAAGCTCTTCGCTGCCGATCCCTCCCGTGCTCGGTGAGGAAGAATCGAGTATAGTGATGACTTGAGAGACTGGTCGGTGACAGCGCGGGAGATTTTTGTCACGACGAAGATATTGCTACACTTCATTAGGTAGTCCTGCGTTGACCGAATCCTGGCCAAGTTCATATATTTCAAGCCTATTTCACAGAGTCAGAAGAATATGGCGAATTTCTCAAGTCAGTAGCTAAACGCACCTGGCAAGTCTGCAAGGACCAGTCCTGTCTCGAGAACTCGTGACTCAAGATAAACCCTATTAGAAGTCGTTAAAACTTTTTTGATATCCAAATAAATGAGATCTGAGTCGACTAACCGGATAATTTTGGTAAACGGCCAATACCTATTGCTCATAAAAATGTCGGTTTTCTCACAACATTCTCTAGGCGTAACTGCGGTAGATCTCCAAATGCCGTTCGCACCTCCGGCAGGCCATTCAATCTCTCGAGACCATGTGATGAGCTGTGATTCGATCCTATCTATGGCTCCATCTGACATATCGAGAAGGAAGCTTTCGTTGAATTCGCTTTTGTGCTTGAAGGCGGCTTCTAAGGCCGACCAAGCTTGGGCGGACTCCCTGGTGTATCGTTCATAAACTTTTGTAGACGTCTTGTTAGACTGCACATTTGGCAAGTAAAGCAGACGATAACTCCACAAGAGTTCCGATAAAACCTCTTCCATCTCGTATTTGGACATATACTCGACTTCGAGCGTAATAGGAGCCATATGCTGAGGTTCCTTAAGCCTATATTCGGTCACAACTGAAGTACAAGCCGAGCCAACGTCGCCCTAGTAATTGTAACAGTCAATCTTTGGACTCCAGTAAGAACAGGCCGAATGGACAAACTTACGGTCTTGGCTATACCAGGGCAGTGCAGAAGTGAGTTAATCAGGCTGCTTTTCCCTGCAAGATCTGTGAGTTAAAAGATCAATTGTCTTGAATGACCAGAAAGTTGACATACCTTCTCCAGAGTCCCCCATTACGGCTATGGTTCTTGTATCACGGACATGGAAAGCGGAAAGTCGCCTTGCGTCGTCAACGAGCTTTGTAACTGACGAGTGCTCAGACCAGAAACTAGAATCTTCAAATAGCTCCGTTATTTGTTGAGAGATGATCTTTCCTGCCCGTATTTGAGACTGAAACAATTCGCCAAAGAAAGGGTGTGAGGGGGGTGACTCGCTGCGGACATCGTACGAAGTAGCATTGCTTTTAGCATGTGGCTCAGGTACACTGGCTTGATCTTCGGGCTGGGGGAAAGGCTTGACCGTATCATAATGTTGGCTAGGCCCGTGAACTTTGCCTCTTTCCCTTGTTGACACAAGGATATCATTTGACGAAGAGCTCTCCGATTTAGGTTGAGCATACGTCCAAGAAGGCCCTGAATAGCTCGCAAAGTTGAAGGTGGGTTGAGCATGGCCCATCCCCGTATTGAACATAAAAGTACTACTGCTCTGTTCTGATACTGCACCGAATTGAGAACGCGTCGTTTCCGGGATTGGTAAGGGCTGGGCAGTATCTAGAGCCTCGCTCCATTCCTCCCCAAAATGAAACACACCCGAATTTGTTGAAGCCGGCTGGGAGCGTCGTGAAGACTTTGTATTTGTACTCTTTTGCATTATGTCTGGTTTTCTCCGCAAGCTTAATGTCTTGATAATGGTCTTTGGGGAAGGTAAAATGAAGTGAGGGAGAAGGGGCCAAGAGAATTGGAAGGCCAGAACACCTGACAGAAAAGCAAGACGAAAACCCACGACTAAGTGCTGGGTACACGTGGCAACCAAGTGCAGTGATGGCTGGAACCTACGTCCATCTTGACTTCTGAGAGTGGACCAGGGCTAGGCATGACCGAATTGACGCCCTTTTTAAACTTAATTGTACAGTAGAGACGCAGCTGGTCGAAGACTCACGCACTTACTAAGGTCAAAAGCGGATACACTCCGCCTCTTTTGTACGTCTAACATCGGCTAGTGATAAGGGTAAATGAACTAGGTGTTCTCACACCTCCAGCTGGCCGTAGACGCGTGAATAAGAGTTTTTAGTGCTTTGTGGGAGCTTTATTCCCAACACGCTGACAATGGCTACCTGATGTTATGTTCAAGATGAAGATAGCACCGGAAGGTTTGAAATTATCTAAAATAAGAGTGTGATCAATTTAATCAGAAGGTAGTAGAACCATTAAACCCTTCATATGGAAATCCTTATTAATGTAGGTGCTTAGCTTTGCTTTTAAACCTAGATAGCGAATCTTTACCTCACTATTATTGGAATAAGAGTTCTCTTCCTGAAACCCGATGTGCGATATTCGATTCATAACCATATGACTTGGTTAAGATACAAGCCTAGAGTTCTATTGCCTCTTCAAATCAAACCCAGAAATAGTTATGATACTCGACCAGCCTCTGGTGTTTCGCCAGTAGACTCTTGTTCGAGTAGTTCCTTTTCCTGTTGGGCCTTCTTACGACCTTCAGCTCCCCAACGGTTTCCTTTCGGAAACCCGTTGGCGAGAACGAATGCTTTCTTGTCAGCTCGGGAATCAATCTTACGAAACTCTTCTCCAAGCTCAGAGTTAATTCGAACATGGTAAAACGTTCCGTCTTTGTGCTGAGCCGTGTACAGAGATGCGCGGTGCATTTTCTTGCGCTTTGGCTCCTTGTCATTATCAACTTCCTGTCCTCCTTGATCCGGACCGCGACTATCCTCTGAGCCGTTCATGCCCTTTTTACTTTGCGCATTACAGGCGGCATATATCATCCTCCTCAAGCTACCAGCCAAGGATTCATCCTGGCCCGTGCTGGTGATGCTCTGTTGGCATGGGTCATGGTATTCCCCAGCGTAAGCTGAATTCTTCTTGCAAGCATCGGTCTTGTCATGCCGGACATTATCAGGTATATTGTTTTCGTGGCCATGGTGGCATTTGCGGAACGGGATATCGTCACATGCAACGGCAGGATTTGGATCGTCGTCACTACAGTCGAGGTTAGTATCGTCGCCCTCTTCAGAGTAGGAAAAAACGACTGCCACAGTGCCGTCGTCATACCTCTTGTTTTGAACGCGGCCCCGAGCCTGAGTTGCTTCGAAAAGCATAGCAGAATACTTGATCTTGATCTCCATTTTCGTGGCGGATTGAGGCGTATGCCTTTGCTAGCTTTGATAGTGGTAGCAAAGGCAATGAATTCAAAGGAGAATATGAGACTCAACAAAAGACAACGAGTAGAGCTGAGGGCGCAATTTTCAATTATTCTCAGTGGCAAATAGCGTGCAAAGTTCGCCTTGAGCTAGTAGAGCTTATTTTTGGCTTTCGTATTCATTGTGTTGAGATGCCGGATCTAGCATCTTCCATTGCTATATTTTACTATGTGAGTCAAGCTACTCGTACTCTCACACCCGAGCAACGGAGACTCGAATTGTAAAAAGTAGGGTGGAACCTCGCGGAATTCAGTCTCGATGATTGCTTCACTCTGAGGCCATGGTAGAACAAGTGATAAGCAATTCAATGAGGAAGCTAAATACGTTTTGAGGTTCAAATAGTTGGGTTCTAGGCGTTTAATAGATGCTCCCGTCGTAAATTGCATCAAACCTGAGTTTGGAACCTCATGTGAGAACCCAATACTCAGGCTCAACGGTAGCATACCTTAGGCTAGGTATTTACAACCATGTTTCTTGGTATAGCTTCTTTCTGGATGCTCGCTTACAGGTTTCACTCACATGATGATAGTCAGCTCGACTTTTGATTGGTCCCCTGATCTGCGCTTACGGAGAGAGATGCCCCTTGAATGATGACGTGGCAACGTGGAAAATCGGAGAGTAATCCTCGCCTGGTACTTGTGGAGGCAATTTTAATGCTTACCACAAGAGCTTGCACTTAGACAGCTCGAGCCGCTGAACCCAACTCAATCTCAAGTTATTCATATGGTTATCAGATGGAAACTACTGCTGAGCACGACCCCTGGGCCTTCCCGGATTCAACACATACGGCGAGATGCGGTACAATTCGTGATCTCAGGGCGACTAAAATCACAGATTTCTTCAAACCTGACCGCCCATCAAAGCGCCGCCCTATTTCTGGGACGTCGTTTCTGGACCTGCCAGCACATATCCGTGACAGGATCTACGAAGAAGCAGGTGTTGGTGGCAACGAGTTTATCGACCTGAATATTTGGTTGGCCAGAGGCTTGAACCTTTGTTGGAAGGACGATGACGACCAGCCACCCAGTATTGACGATTGGACGGAGCCTGAGTGGCGTGGGCCAAGATTCTCATCGTGTTCTCCTTTCAACCGAACACCGTTCCCTGCCGCACTTCTATGGGCAGGCTCTCACCTCATTCATAATGAGGTGCAGGCCAAGATATACTCGGAGAACACCTTTGCAGTGAGCTTAGCGGGGAATCAGAGCCTGCGGCCGTTGGAGATGCTTAGCGACGCAGCTCTAAGAGAGCTCAGGGTTCTCTTCATTATCATATGTCCTTGCAAATGTCTTACTCCTTGCTGCCAGGGACCAAATGAAGATCACAGCTGCTATGATTTCGATGACCGGCCGGACCGCCGGGGTTTCTGGAGGCTTACGAAGATGCTTGTTGACGATGCCCCGCATAGCAGACCTCTCGGCTGCATCAGTTGGACTGACAAACAAACATTAAGTCAATGGGAAAGAATCTGTGCCCGTTTGAGAGCGAATTCTCGACCCCGTCAGCTTAGTCTCTACTTGGTGGCCAATGTTGCTGATCCACAAACTGCAAAGCGTATCGTCGATCCGCTCGACGGCTTGCCGATATTGAAAGACTTGGGCATCAATCTCGGTCGTCGTCTCAAGGGCTGTCAGAATTTCGAGCCCAAGTCTTTTGTACGCCAGGTTGTGCAAAAGTTGACAGATACAGTACCATATAAGCAGTTCCCTTTCTTGGACTTGCCACTTGAGCTACAGATCAAGATTATACAACAATCTAAAATTGCTCACTACAGAAGTAACCGCGCGCAATGGTATGCAACTTCGCCTCCTCATTGGCCACGGAATGACTGGCACACCTGCCATAGCAAGGAAATAGACCATTATTATTATTCGGAGGCCGAGGATACTTACCTCCTGGACGAGTCCGAGTTAGATGACGTTAAACCCTTGGTTCGCCAAACTGCTTTTTGTTTTCTGGAAAACCCCGCTGCCTTCAACAATCGCTGCAAGTGCACCCCCACTGGCACGCTTTTCGAAGTAAGCAAAGCCTTTTCGGTCGTGGCAGAGGCGGTATACTTCACAGAGAATATGTTTTCTCTTCATTACCAGAGTACCACCCGGGATTTTGTTGCCACTGGCCAGGATCAGATCTATCCGCTGGCCCTACCGTCGTTTCTTCACTTTCTCCCCCATAGGTATATCTCGAGCCTGAGAAATATCTGCATACTCCTTCCTCCATGCACACCAGACTTCCTCGCGCCGGGCCAGTCTGCCTGGGATGAATGGGTATGGTCCATTGAGCTTCTGGAGCAGTCGGCGGACTTGACACGTCTAAGGCTCGAGATTCACTTTTGTGATCAGAATAGGGACCCATACTTACCTGGTGCGGGCCCAGAGCAGCATCAGATAACTGCCGAATTTCATCGTGCGCGGATCTATGGGGATGCGAAAGTCGAGGAGGCCATGCTGGATGCGTACAAGCGGATACTTGGTCCTCTGAAACGTCTGGGACCTGGACTCCGTGCCTTAGTGATATATGTCTCTTGGCCATTATGTTATTTGTCAAGAGAGAAACGAAAGGCCGACGAAACAATGCTCGAAAGGATGATTATGGGTCAAGAATACGATTCGGCCAAGTTCGGGAAGTTCAAAAGCAGCCCGTACAGCCAACCCAGGGACTATCCTGGCCCTGATTTTTAATGCTCCGTAGTCAAAGATGGTACATCTATTTCAGATGGCTCATATAAACCGCCGCGCTAGTTGTACACAATTTCAATGTGTTGAATATGTATTTAGCATAGAATGCGGAAATATTTGCTGTTATTTATTGTATAAATGATAATTGGTGGGCTGCTTGTTCCATCTAGTTCAAAACCACTAGACAGTTGATTGTGCCAACTAGCTCCACCTTGTGCATTCTCTGAAGATAGTTCTCAACGCCTTGATATCGACATGATTTCCGCGTAAGACCACACTAACCTCCTCTTGGCTCCAAGAAAATCGGGTCGTTGGCTTGATAAATAGAACCGTTGCCCCGCATGTCATTCTTTCTGAGTAAGACGGAGAAAATCTGACATCAACAACTTCCTACTTCATCAGCATTTTACAATGGCCTCGAACGAACTGGAGTCGTTATTCTTGTTCGCATCAAAGTATCCTCGGCTAAATGAAAGCCTATACGAGCGTTACCAGGAACTTCTTGAAGGCGGTCACGACCCAAATGAGGAATGGGACCATGGTCGTGGTCCAATCCGCTCGTCGCCATTGTTCAGCGCAATCATGGACGAGAACGTCGAGTTGACAGCTCTCTTATTGAATTTTGGCGCAGATGCAACTCGGCATAATAGAAGAGGGCGGATGGCGCTTCATGAAGCTATCTCCCGTGCTCACAAGCCCATTATCGAGCTTCTCCTAGAGCGGGGAACGGATCCAGAGGCACCGTTGAAGTCCGAGTGTCTCCAAGGTGGTACGGCTCTCCATCTTGCAGTGAGCGCAGGCCAGGTGGATATAGTCCGAAGTCTTTTGAGTCATCGTTGCAACCCCCAAATAAGGTGCGAAACAGGTTGGACACCAGCGGACCTTGCCGTTCTGGAGCACCACACCGCAGTGCTCGAGGTGTTGCTAAGCGAGATAAATTTGCACAATATATATATCCTGGAGAAGAACGATCAATGGCTCCTCAGCCCGGATGAGAAGGCTCATGACGATTCATCTCACCTTGCATCCCACCTCCTAGAGCATGGGGTCAGAGGATCGACTCGAGACCACTATGCCTATTATCGATCAGGCCTATCGCGTTCATTAGATCTATTGAACCCCAACATGACCACTTCTGACATCGCAAAGGCCCTCATAGATCACATGGAAGGCTTTCTGAGGCTAGGAGCAGGCGTCAACGGTCTCATTACTTGGGCGAGAAACCGATGCAAAGCGTGCGTCGAGTTTAACGGCCGAAATGGGGAAGTTCTCTTCACTGCATTCGATCATAGTCGTGATCTTGCCACCTTAAAGGCATCGTCTGAAAATGGCTGTGACCTTTGTCAGTTACTCCTCGAGGCTTTAGACAGCCATCGGTGTTCATTGCATCAAATTGACAAACACTGGATCGAGGAGCTTGGTGTCAAATCTAAAGTACGACTGCTTCTCGAGAATAAAGAAGTAGCACCAAGATTTGGAAGCCACGGATTGATTGTCGTATGTGGCGAGAAGATATCATTTATGGATCTTAACCATGTTCAAAGTTTGTTTGTCCGGTACCTACGCCTGATAGTATTACCATTCTAACTACCATAGAACATATTAATAAGGCTGTCTCCCAGACTGCCCCCACCGACACCATGACGACTGGGTCAGAGAGAAGCCTAGCCGTTGCAAAGGCGTGGATGGAAAGGTGTGAAACGGAGCATGAAACCTGCCGCCGACTCAATGTTGGAAAGCTCCCATCGCGGGTAATAGAAGTTTCCAGTGATTCACACCCTCCCAGAATTCACATCTCCGTTGGAGAGCAACTTCCGTACGTGGCGTTATCGTACTGTTGGGGAGCAGAGCAGAACATCCGCCTCCTTTCAACAAATATCGAAACCTATATGGAGGGTATCCCTAATGATTCAATACCACGAACCATCGCAGATGCGCTCAAAATTACCAAAGCCATGGGTTTGAAGTATCTCTGGGTCGATTCGCTGTGCATCTTGCAGGATTCCGAACAAGACCTGCAACACGAGTTGTCCTATATGGGTGAAATTTACGCCAATGCATGGCTCACTATTGCCCCAAAGAATTCCTCGGGCTGCAATGATGGCTGTTTCCGGGAACGGGATTGGAAAACAAGCGCGATAGTTCCATTGGATATCAGATTGCCGCCACCCGCTGAACAGAGGACTTCCCAGATTCATCTCCAAGTAGAAAATAACCGCACCTCGTGTGTCAATAGACTTATGGTACTACCACGGCATCGGATGGAAAAGAGCGGCAAGAAGTCAGTACTCAGAACTCGAGGTTGGACTTTACAGGAGGAAATACTGTCACGCCGGATGCTTCACTGTTCCGACCGTGAACTAAGCTGGACCTGTTTGGAGGGCAGGTGCACTGAGCGCATACCTGAACAAGAGGACATTCGAGGTGGACGAAACTGGAAATACGCTATGAGGCGTGTCATTGTAACGGGGATTGATGGCTATGGCAACTTGAACAAGCTGGCACGGGAAGAAGTCCTCAATAATTGGCTAGAGATTGTGGAAAATTATCTGAGGCGAAAACTATCAAAACCCGGGGATAGGCTCGCTGCAATCCAGGGTGTTCAGGAGGCGATCGGGAGAGTCTTGGATGACTTGCCCGTTGTTGGTATTTGGAAGGGCCAATTTCTAGCACCCAGTCTCCTTTGGAAGGTTTCTCAGCCGGCAAAGAAGTCTGCTGTTAGCCTCTTCCCATGCCCTTCATGGAGTTGGGCCTCTGTATTCAGGCCATCGGAATACACGAAAATTCCGTCAGGCAAATCGAACAAAGACTGGGTCTGGTATCATGACGTGAAATACTTTGTTGAAGCCACTGCTTGGGATATCCACGACAGAGGACCGCACGGTGTTCAGGGACATGTAACTCTACGTTGCAAGCTGATAAAGGAGAGCGCTATAGCTTGCGACAAAATATTCGTCCAAGAGTTCCCTAATAGGCCTCCTCAAAACCGAGGTGGGAAAGAGTTCATCAATATGACGATACATAACGATTATGAAGGTGGTGCGAGAGCTTCCAACGTATGGCTCATGCCCGTTCAAACGAATCGGTTCGTTCCCGGTGCTGGAGACAGAACCAGAGCCGGAGATTATGACATAGAAACACAGCTTCTGCGGCTAGAAAAAATTTCCCCCGCTCAGGAGGATTACAGGCGAATTGGGTTGGTGGTGACGAAGTCGTGGGAGAATAAATGGCTGGAGCAAGCAGGCACCTACGAGATACGGTTGTTCTAACACACATATTCGCTCGGTTTGACTCTATCAGAAAAGTGTTGAAATTGATTTCGAAATTGGATGATGAGTCTCGGATTAATTTGCCGCTCTTGATCATAACAGTGACCCATTCTCTTTGTCACAAGGTGACAATCTAACCCAAGTTGGCGGTGGAAGCCCTCCTCATGCACAAAGCAAATTTCGCGGCATATGATATAGGTTGGAAGACTCCATTCCACTACGCGAGCACCTGGGTTAATGTTCTTGCGGCTAAGCATTCTCTAGAATGGCGGTGTGGGGTCTCATTGGCGATGGTTGGTGTTCACAGCAGAGCATTCATCCATTATGCATCGTAACGATGGAGTCATGCTACCGTAGAACCTCTTGTTGACAAGGGTTCACGAAAACAAAGACTAGGGCCCTAGAGACGAGGCTCCCCTAGTATTAACTTCCCTGAGGGGTGGCTATACAATTTCTGCTAAGACTTGTGATAGCAGGAGACGAACTTCGTGAGGGCAAGTGGGCTTTTCCTGATAGGCTGTTCATAGATGCAGGGAACAGGTACGAGATTTGAGTGACATCGGGGTAGACATCATTCAAGGTGTTCTCATAATGCAAAGACGGCAGATCTAGTTATGTACTGTATCTTTTTCGTAGGACTGAGTAGAGAAAGAGCGGATTCAGCCCAGGTTTGAGAGAAAGTCTCCTGTTGACCTCTCTTAGCGATCAAGTATCAATTTTACTAGCCTCGGAATATTTTTCGCCTATTTTCCATTCACTTTTGTTTCATAGTAAAAGAAAATCTCGCCTCCAAGGATAATTATTCGCTGTCTCGAGACTCTTTGACATCCTCAAGAGTGTTACTTTCTCCACCTCTGTTCCCGTTGACAGGCCACATCCTGATGACCTTTCTTCCAGGTGAGGTCCTGGAAATGAGGACTTCTCACGCAGGTGAGCATTACGTTGCCTAGCATTAAGAATATCCACAATTGGTGCGGTGAGATTCCAGGATGCTACCCCGTTCTTCATTGGGCCGGAAGATCCGGCTTTTTTGTTAAAGCAGGTATTGTGCAGTATACAGTAATATATATGGAGAAGTTGAAGACAGCGGGTTGTCTGATTACCACAACTGTTTCTCTTGACATAGTGGGCACCACCGCAGGTTAGATACGTGAAGTAGTTGATATAGGGAGCGCTCCGTAAGGTTATAACTACGGCTATAACGGACTACAGATTAGCTATAGCGAGCTGAATTACGACCAGAGCGTGTCTTAATCGGAGGACTACGATCCGTCTGGATACTCTGGCTCAGCCAAAATGCATTCTTCACGAGGAGTAATAGTTGAGCTTAATGTCAACATGGTAAGTAAAATCGTCGGCTCCGTGGCTATTTCCTAATCTAGCTTCTCTCGTTGGCAGCTGGCCTGATTACAATGGAGGCCTCACGGCTCTGACCCGGAAGTTAGCTGATGGGACACCATCTGTGGACCTTTCATCAAAAACTTGCTCTGCTGAGGTCGGTCTGCCCAAGGTCCCTGTTGTATCCCTGTCTGAGAATGAGAGATTTCAAGATGTGGTCAATGCATGTGCTGGTCGTCTCCGCACGCTGGGTATGGTAACCAGGCTTGCCAGGGTGGGTTCATCTGAAGAATCCGTAGCAAGACAGATGCCAAGGGCGGTGATCACTTCTTAGCGTCATTGTGAACTCTGGAGCATTGGTGGATGAAATTGTTCAAAGAGATGGCGAGTCTATCATTTCAGTTCGTGTTTCGGATAATATCAATGAGCCCGTCGGCATGTCTCAGCACCGAATTTCTAGAGGCAGTTTCAGAGAGATTTGCTTACCTTTAGGAGTGACTATGTTACCTGATAAAACATGCGAGAGAATTACACGAATGAAAGAATTTTCCGACAGACTGATCGTCAGTGTCAGGGGCAAGAACACTTCGTCCGCAAGATGAACTGACTGGCTAGGAAAGATTCATCATCTATGTAAAGGCGGCTAGGGATTCTTGACTTTGTATCGGGCCGTCGCGCCGAGCAGTTCTCGGGGGCTCGAGAAGGGGGCTCGTGAGAGGCGGTGGCCACGTACACCCTGTTCAAAGCGGTTATCTGAGAGATCGGCAATACAACCACCCATCACACGGGTAGGCGCTACCACTTGCCTGTTTATATCTACCAAGAAAGCAGATCGAGAATTTGTGACTTCATAAATGGCTTCTAGGACGATCTATCCCTCCTTTGTATTCGACTTGTTCGTCCGGTCTGATGTTTGATTTCTCCGTGCTTGACAGTGCTCATATCCATCGCTGGACTGATGGCGCAACACGGAATCCTCCCTTCATGAAATAAGTGGAAATATCCACAAGTTAACAAGGAAGCTGGATGTGGGAGAGCGAATGAGTTTCGGGAGTGTGCCACCGCCCACATACATACTTATTTTCCCGTCGACGAGCCAGGACCAAGGGGTTAACAAGTTGGCGGTTCAGAACCTAAACTGGAAGCAGTGACGATGATCATGCAACATGACAAGGAAGAAGAAGCTAGAAGCCCTGCCCACTTTCCGCAACGGACAGTGGCGCGGTAAACATCCCAGCAAACGATCCAAAACACTGGAGTTAGAGATCATGCGTAGCTACCAGTGGGGGTTTCAAGACCCAGAAATAGCTGGAAACGGAGGACGGGAGGCCACCATCCGCCAGAATAGTTTCAGGATCCAGCGCCATTTACACTTCATTTCGGCTGTTTCAGGGGACGAGTACCTTATCTGACCCCTGAAAGAAGCATAAGAAAAGCTTATTTCAGACCTATTAATGACGAACCGGGTATTGACATCGTGATCGTGTATATATATACCGAGCAAGTGTCACTCCATTTTGATATTTACATTGTTCTCAACAACGACCTGGTGTCTTAAACAGTCTCTGATAGCATTCTCTCTTCATTTCACCTTCCTCTATCAGAAAAAGCTTTCATCATGCATTCTGCTCTTCTCTCTGTTCTCGCCGCCGTGCCCGCAGCCATGGCCTGCCTGGGTTACGAAGGTGGTCTGCCCACACCCACTGGCACCAAGACTCTCAGTGAGCCTTACTACATCGGAGCGGGCGAGACCTTCGATGCCGGTTGGGTCAAGTATGACCGTGGTGTAGCCTGCGGAGGTCAATCCGAGGGAGGTAAGGACTGAATCTGTCCCCGACTACTGTTAGGTAAACATTCTAACTGAAATCCTCACAGGTGAGGCCGATACTGTCTTCGTTCTCCGTGAGGGTGCCACCCTGAAGAACGTCATCATCGGTGCCGATCAGGGCGAGGGTGTCTACTGCTTGGGCAGCTGTAATCTCGAGTTTGTTTGGTTCGAGGACGTCTGCGAGGACGCTATCTCGATCAAGGGCGACGGAACCGCCAACATCATCGGCGGCGGTGCCTACCATGCCTCCGACAAGGTCATCCAGCACAACGGATGCGGTCACGTCAACATCGTCAACTTCTACGCCAATGACTACGGCAAGGTCTACCGCTCTTGCGGTAACTGCAAGGGCAACTGCGCCCGTACCGTCCACATGGAGGGCACCACTGCTGTTGACGGCGGTGAGCTCATGGGCATTAACACCAACCTCGGCGACAAGGTATGCAGCTTCAGAACTCTCACCTCTCTGATCACGATGGCTAACAGACTCTTCCCCTTAGGCTACCTACTCCAACAACTGCTACCCCAAGGTTCAGTGCCAGGCTTACGAAGGATGTGACAAGTCCAACGGTGACTGCGAGCCCACCAAGCTGGGCGAGTGCTAGAATGATGCGAGCCGTCGAAGGACTAGGGCATTCAGGGATTGTCCATATGTGCCTTCTTCTCAGCATGCAGGGTATTTCACTTTAACGTAGAATACTATTTAGAAAATACTATCTTCGTTGCATTGTCTCTGCTCCATTGATTCTCAAAGAAACATGAACACAGAAAGCACTGATTCACTCACGATGGAAGCAGTTCTATTTACTCACGATGAAGAGGGAAATCTTACTTGTAGTCCACTAGGCACCTATCCTGTTATTTATGTTTGTATAATTTCTTATATTATAATACTCAAAACCCCAATAGTAACCTCAATGGCTAGAGAATGAGTTTCAGGCCAAGTGCTACTTAACCCCTGATACAGTTTCCAAATCAATACAAAAAGACCAAAATTCTTGTCGGGAGCTTAATACATCGAAAATCTGTGCCAACCTTCGCAGTTAGAGTTGCCTCTCAAGCGACTGGCATAAAACATGGCACACCGAAGCTCTGTTCACGCAAGTCAGGGACCTCATTTTATTATCAATGATACTAATTCCAATATTAAGAATCTTATAAATTATTCTATAACGCTGGAGGTTCTCGGTGTGCGATGCTTTATGTCAGCCGCTTGCCTCTTTGCCGTGACTCACTTGCCACAACTCTTTTGTTTTTGTTTTTGTGGCTGCAGACGCGTCGCGAATCCAGTGGCTTGATAGGTCTGCATAAGGGAACTTGCTTTTTCGTAAACAGAGCTGGCTGCCTAACCACGTAAGCTGATCATATATATTTACAGGCGGTGCCCACCCATCAGTAGCATGAATTGATGGCTTGCATGCTTGATTCACAACTTTAGCACATTCAAGTTCATGCATGCGCGCTGGAAGCCAGAGAGAAGCAAGCGCTCCTTGGATTCCTCCCGCATTATCGTCCTCGGCGTAGATTTATGCCTGCGTTCCCCTCTCAGCTGATCGAGTCCCTTATTCTAACGCCCACTTGCCCCTCTTTTCAACTACTTATCATGACTACCATTCCATACGACGCGTAGGTCGAAAACCAGATCCAGAAATCCCATGAGGCATATGACTGACGAGGTGCCAGTATCCTGTCCTCAGGTATGTTCAAGTGCCTGATAGGACCCGACAAAGCCGAGTTCATCATCCACAGCGGCCTTCTCGCCTCCCAATCCAAGGTCCTCGATCGGCTGGTATATGGCCAGATGAAGGAGGCCCTCGAGGGCGAGGTCCACTGGGCCGAGGTAGATACCGACACGTTCATCCGATTCAGCCAGTTCGCATACACTGGCGACTACTACGAAGCCAAGTTCCAGCCCCGACAGGGTTCCGAGTCTTCGGCCGCGGCCAGCCAAACCTCAACCCCCCCATCGCCGCACCCGACCCAAGTCCCGATGTACATAACCGAGGAGCCAAGCATCGTTTTCCCGACTTACGTGCGCTCAGTTTCACCGGTCAACTCAGCAACCAGGGCTCCAACTCCAAGATCGTGGTCTGGGAGAAAGAGAGTGGAGGAGACTGCCCTGAAAGAGAAGAAGTTTTTCCTCTGGGCCAAATTCAAGTCCCTTCATGCGGACACGGGTCTTGAAGGACCAATCCCAACAAATTCGTCTAGCGATGATACAACAGAGCTGCTGCTGAGCCATGCCCGGGTATATGTCTTCGCCGAGTGCTATGATATAGCGCCTCTGAGCCTGCTGTCGCTACGAAAGCTGAGGCAGACATTGGAGCATTTTCAGATGTATGATGAGGCTGTATTCGATGTGATCCAGCTAATCAACTACTGTTATGAGAACACTATAGCCCGTGATGGGGTGGAGGACCTGAGATCTCTGCTGTGTATGTTTGCGGCTTGTCATCTGGAGAAGCTCTGGAGCAACAAGGAGTTTCAAGAACTGGTTCGGACTTGTGGGGAGTTCTCTCAAGGACTCATCACCCAGCTGCTGAATCGGTTAGATTGAGTGGTTCATATACATGACCCAAACCTGATTTACTTCAGCTATTTTGGTCATCAACCTTTTCAAAGCCTCAATACCTAGGCAATAATACAAACACAAATTCAAACAAAAGACAAACAGTGTGATTAGTGGATTACAAGTGACGGTTTCTCATCCAAAAATCGTAATTGACATCATAAAGATCAAATGGGTTAGCAGAAGAAAGATTCCTATTCATTTTAAATAGAATATATACACGTCTTGTCCCAATTCAAGTCTGGCACGTCGGTATCATACCAACCTTTAGATGGTACCAAAGCCAGCAGTAGTAGCCACATTCTTCGCATCGTTATAGCTAGAGGCAGACGCGACATTCTTGCCGTTGAAGTTGGAGAAGAAGCTGGTATCAGTGCCAGAAAGACTGCCAGAGCTTCCGTAGCCGTTGACCTGGCAAGCGTGGCCGAGGTAGGAGGAGCAAGCCGCGTTGGTGCCGCTGTCTGGGCTGGAGAACATTTTGCCGGCACCGCCAGACTCGACGGCGGCGACCACGTTCTGGAAAACATTGCCCTCGGCGACAACCATAGCGCCAGAGTCGACTTCGAACGCGTGGCGGTTGTTGTCGTACCAGTAGTTGTTGACGGCGTGGAGGAGGGTGTTGCCACTGACCTTGGGGCTGCGGCCGGAGGTGTGGTAGATGTAGTTGTTCTTGAAGGTGACCAGCTTAGAGGAAGACATGTTAGCATTGTGATTCACATCATGCTCTGTAAATGAGTAGACAGGAGAGAGAGTTCGAGTATAACCCAAAGAACAAAAGAAGATGCCAGACCCGACTTCAACACAATGCATACGTAAATGAGTAGACTTACATCGGAAGAGCCAGCAAAGTAGACGCCCCAGTAGTGGTAGGTGTCGCAGTAGGCAGACCAGCTGGTCTTTCCATCAATCTTGCTGTTGGAAATGGTAACACGGTTGCTGGCGCTGGTACCGAGCACAATGTGCTGACGGCCAATCAACGAAGTGGTGACATGATCGATCCAGACCAAATCAGCGTTATTGATGGTGATGGCATCACCGCCCCAGACCAAGCTCGGGTTGAGGTTCGTGATGTGGACGTTCTGAATGATGACGTTCTTCGCGCCGCTCACAATCTTCAGGCCCTTGCCCTTGATCACACCCGCGCTGCCGACACCCACAAGCGACTTGTTGCTGCCAACCGTAATTGCACTCACGCCGGCCTTGTCATAGGTGACGCTGACCTTGGCGGCGTTGGGCTGGTAGTTGTCGCACCAGCTGTTCTGGTTGATGGCCTTCTGGCATGCCGATCCCGTTCCGTACGGGGCACACCCTGTCGCCGTGACCGAGCCCTCGGATCCGGTGAAGTCAAAGGTCTTGGTCAGGAGGATCACACGGGCTGAGCTATCGCCGAGGTACGAGACCAGCTCGGCCGTGGTCGAGGGCGTCACGGTGCTCCCACTGGCACCTCCGGTGACTCCCTTGGCGAAACCCTCAGCTGCGCCGGTGACGCCAGCAGCGGCGCTGGAGCCCACGAGGGCAGCAAAGAGAGAGGCAAAGAACGCGGTCTTCATCGTGGTAGCCGTAGATTCAGTTCTGTCCTGCCAGAACTGAGCTGAGGAGAGAGGCTTGGGACAACCTCATGGCGAGATCCTGTGGCATTTTAACCCCAACGGCCGGAAGAATTCTCAAACATGGCTCACTTGGCGGAACATGATGGGCTCATCAGCATGAAGCATCTCATAGCAAGTCTATTAGTTGTGGAGTAGTATGGGCCATTCGTCATCCTAAACTCACGGAGACTCATCCGCCGAAACTCCAGAAAGGGAATGTTCTCATCTCAGAAACCCACGTGCTCCGCGCTTGGCACGGCACCAACGGCATGGTTATTAAGATTTCCAGGCTAGAACGCCTCATCGTTTGATCTTCAAAGCATGTCATTCAGCCCAACGGAATAATGGGGACGCGCGTACGGAATTTTAGGAGCGACAATTGCCGGACCGGTGAATTCACTATTCTAAAATCACAGTTTCATTTGCCGGATCTACTTCGACGGCTTGCTTTAGCGTTGCCTTGTCATAGCATCATACAGGAGTCGCTCGGTGTTGGTGATGTTGTTCACCTCTTTGATCATGGTCAGTCTTGGTCTGGTGCTTCACAACAACTTGGGGTACCATGATCCCTCTATCCTCGTCAATAGAGGTCTGGCTCTCGCTCGCCGCCAGAGCTAGAATATCTCTCTCCGCCTTAGTCCCAGGCTGCTTAGGCAGCAACGGGAAGATGAGCGGCATCACAGCAGCCAAGATGGATGCGGCACCGGTGAACGAACACATGGTGGCGAAACCCAGGACGTGGCGGGGTGCATCGGCACTCGGCCACAGGAAACTCCCGTAGAGCATCGATAGATTGCAGAACGTGTTGATGAAGGCGATGGCCACGGACCGCTTCTTGTTCGGGAAGGAGATGCACTCGCTCGCCCAGTTTAGTATGAGGGGAAGAGCGGTATATAACCCGCCAACGAAGAGGCACATCATAATGTACTTGACCACAGCGTTGGTGACGAACAAGGAGACCAAGCATGCCGTCACTGGGGCCAGGTGTAGAAGAGACAGATGCCAGCGGCGGTCCTGCATCTTATCTGAGGTGTACGAGAAGATGAGCATCGACACAGCTCCGGTAATGTAGATGGGCACAGTCATCCATTGTGCCGACACCTTGGTGTACCCCAGAGTCTTTAGAATGGTAGGGATGAAGTAGGAAATGGTGGTACAGGTTCCGTTCAGGTTATACAGCACCAAGAACAGCCACGTCTTTGGGTCGGCTACCACGGCTTTCAGCGCTTGGAAGGCGGTCAGGGTGCTGTTCTCGAGTACGACGTTGACCTTTTGATCGTCCATGATGCGGACATGGGCCAGACGCCGCTCATCCGGCTTGAACCGCCGCGTATTGTGGGGGTAGTCGGGGATGAGGAAGAAGAGACAGCCGGAGCAAAACACGGTGATGAGGCCTTCAACTAATAGAAGCCATCTCCATCCGGCCATGCCTCTAGCTCCGTCGAGGCTTTTGATGATGGCGCCGGCCATGATCCCACCGAGGGCGGGAGCTATGCATCCTGATGTGTAAAAGATACAAAAGCGTTTGCCTAGAGAACAAGTTAGAAGACTAAAATAAAAGTCCTGCAACAGTCCTCCGGGTCATATTGTTGATTCTTGCAACGTACCGACTTCCTTCTTCGTGTACCAACATGTAAGGACGTACAAGGCACCAGGGAACATTCCAGCTTCAGCACAGCCCAGAAAGAATCGCCCCACGAGGAACTCCTTCAGTGTTTTTGCTTGGGACATGCCCGTGACGATGCAACCCCATACAAACACAATAATGGACAGGTAGATGGAGGGTCTTATCCTGACCATGACCAAGTTTGAAGGTACCTCGAGGAGGAAATACCCCACGAAGAAGACGGAGATGAACAGCGAGTATTCTAGTCATTTTGGTGTAAGTAGACGATCCCGGGGGCTAGGTTGCAGCTTCTGCTGGTTGGGGTCATTTACCATTGTCAGATAGACCCAGATCTTCACTTAGGCCAGCAGCGTTGGCGTTTGCCTAGATTTCACGAAGCACTTGTCAGCACGAGACATTGTCGGTCGGTAGTTGAGGGGTATGGCCTACGATGTTACCCTTGTCCAGATACGCCAAAATGTACATCCACCACAAACACGGCAGCAGGATGAAATCAATCTTTCGCACTAGCCTCTTCTCCTCTTCTGTGTCTGGCTCATAGCTTTTGAGGGCTATGGCTAGCTCGCGATCCTCGGAAGATGCTTGGCCGGCTCTAGCTTCGGTCTGGCGGATGGAGGCGTCACTCATGATAGCAGTCTGGCCTATGTTCACACGATTCAGGCAGAGGAGCCTGCAATCAAACCATCAAGGCCCCGTCGGGCGCTGGTGAGTAGAAAATATGAGGAACAATAATGACTGGTTCAGTAAGAGATCCAACACAAACAAGAGGGGAAATCGGGCATTTTCTTTGCCCTAATAAGTAGGCAGTTATCAGCTGCAGGCAGAGATGAGATAGGAAACACAGCAGGCGGCAATATTGCTCAGCAGCAATCGTTTCGATGCAATTGGGGGAAATGGTTGGGGTCTGGCCCGCTCTGCCGAAAAATTCTGCCCTTGACTCAGATTCAGAGTAGCACCTGGACTAGCGAGCATCCGGCCTATCAGATTGTCCTCTGGTGAACCATCAAGGTGTCTTGTGGAAGCAGCTAAACCTACCTAAAACCGCGCAAACATCCTTGGCCCGTGTGGAACGTTGGCAAAGGTGATACATCGTCCTCCTAGCTTGTGATGAGCCGCTCAAGCTACCGACTCGAAACGAATAGAAGGGTATTCGCAATTTTATTGATCTAACATTATGTTTCTCCAGGTTAAGATACTACAAGAATACCCGTGCCTTGTCAAATGTCACCCTCTCCATATGTCTTCCAGTCAACTATAAACCAACAGGTCAATGTCTGATTTTTCACCCTCGTGAACCCACAGGTGCATGAGGCGCCACGTACATACGTCCACCACCGCTGGAGCCCTGAAATCCCCTCAAGCTGCAGGGACTGCTCGAATTGGCTACAGCCAGGCAAGGAACACCTCACTTCCATCAGCCTCACTCCATACTTCTCCGCTTAAAAACTGCCTCGAGGCTCTCAAAAAGAAAATCAAAACCGGAGTAGTGATTTTTCTTAGCTTTAACTAGAACCTAATAGCTTCCAAATCCTCTTGAGAGAGAAAGAATAAAAACCGAGGGGGAAAATAAAAAATAAGCGCAAGTGTGGAGATCCATCCACGAGCAGACTCAAAAAAGAAATGGCCTTGATGAAAATACCTACAATGAAGGAAGACTGCTCACTTTCTCCTATGAAATTTTCCTTGGCGAGGACCAAGCAAATTATTAATTAGAGATTGTTGACATATTGCCCAGTTGGCATATCCTTTTCAGCACTCACTCACCAGGGATC